AACCAGTGGTTCCTGCTGAATGAATCTTTTTACCACAAACAAGCACAGCGGAGCTAAAAACAACCCAAACAGCATGTATATTTACCAAAAAAATACATGCTGATGTGTTGCTCCCACCAACTGTTCAAAAACAAAAACTAGGTCTACATATCATAGACGCCCAAAACACTGGAGCTCTTTGATCCGGTGATGTATTTTTAGGCTGAGCTGCTAGATTCTTGTTAAAGATGAATATCCAAACCCTTTGAAGAGAAGCAGACAACAAGATGTAAAAGAAAACAGTCTAACAGCACCTTTCCTTAAACCCTTTCTGTTTAGAAAATCATAGACATTTTTCAGACAGCATCACTGCAGCACTGTCGTTGTGGTTTTGTTGAACTCCTTCTGGAAAACCAAAGCCATAAATATCTACATGATGCATTTGTGGCTAACAACACGAGCAATGACAGCACCACCTAGCAACAAAAGGCAGGTTTGTACTGTAACACACTTGTCTAAGCCAAAGTGATAAAACTCCACTCATCAGCACTCAATGAATGTCACCAACTCCCAGCAGAAGAGGAGACAAAAGAAAAGCAGTGGCTAACCATAGCATTAGTTTTCTCAGAGAGAAGCAGAAAGGCCAAGATGAAACAATCCTGCTTCCCTCCAAGTTGGGTCACTAACAAGAACCAAGGAATCGCTAAGAAAATGCCTCCTCCTCGTCTCGGTGCGTATCTAATCAAAGAAACTCGAGGAAGAGACGAGACACGCATGAAGAGAATCTGTCTCTCATTAGAGGAGTTCATGCTCCCATCATTTCTTCCAAATGAGGCAATTTCTGTGTTTCAAAGCCGAACTGGAATATCCAGATCTGCAATTTTTCTACATGTTAGAGGCCACAGCCGTGGTGATAACACTCCGTTTTATTCATAAAGCTCCAAATAACAAGGTGTCATCTATCGTTAAGCCCTGAATGAGAAGAAAAGAAAAATACAGGTACATTTAGAGACTTGGGGAACAAAATCCACAGTATGGACAAAACTGCTATCCTGTGGTCCGCTTTAGCTTGCAATTTCTAACATGATTGCCTTGCCTACTCTAGGGGCATAAATTAAGTTACCAGCAGAGAAGGAAATAAATTATGTCCAAAATATCAATTATAATTCCCTCTGTGCTGCAGTTTTTTTTTTTTTTTTTTTGCTGAACTGATGATTTCGCACCTATAGTGCACGCGCGTGCACACATACACATACATACATACATACATACATACATACACACACACACACACACACACACACACACACACACACACACACACACACACACACACACATGTACACACTGCTGAGCATTTTTCCAGCAGGTTTTTCTTTTACCGTTTTTTCCAAATTATTAAGGAGAAAACCCAAAGAGTGAAATTAATCAAAACATCCCAGAGGATGACACCTTTATTCTCTAAACAGCAAATAACTCCACATTTCTAGAGCTGATAAGAGTCAGAATGCAACACCCAGAGGTGTTTGGATTGATTGTGGATCCACACACACATACAGATCTTCTACGGCTCAACAGCAAACCTTTGACTGCTATTTCAGAGATGAACACATTCTTGAGCATTTAGGAGTTTTATAATTAACTCCAGCTGCTATCAAGAACACAACACTTTACACTCCTCAAAATCTACACTTCTGTTTGACAAAGCATTGTTAAGGCAAATTATTCTCTAATTTAATGGGTTATTTAGCCATTTTAAATGCCTCAATCAGTCCTCTGTTGATTTAATCAATGATCCTCCACATTGAGAAGTCTGGCTTTTAGCCCCCCGGAGAATCCGGGTCTGCTTAAAGATTTCAGCTTTTGGATTAACTGAGAAAAATCAATGGCTGACACAAGTTGGAGTATTCACATGTTTCAGAATGACAAGTTTCTTTATTTTCTTTTGCTCAAATTCTTACACCTTCATTCGATGTAAACAGTTTTTAACTAACTAATCTTTTTGACTCTTTCTCTAAAATACATGAATGGAAAATATCAAACCAATCACTCACTGAAAAAGCCAAATAAAAGCGAGGTGTGTAGATTTAGTATGATTTAATCCAAATTTAGACAACACCTTTGTAACAACATTCCACAGAGCTTAATACAAAACAGTGGGGCCACTTAGTTTGGCTTTTAAGACAGATAGACTTGATCAGCCTAATTTCTACAAACAGTTCAGTAAAATAGGGTCTTTAATGAAAAAGCCCCAATCTGTCATTTTAAGACTTTATAGGCCAGAAGAAAGCGTTTCACTTGATCCAACATGTCAGCTGGACGGACGGACGGACGGACGGACGGACGGACAGACAGACAGACAGACAGACATAGATGATAGATAGATAGATAGACTTTCATTACCAGACACAATGGTCCAAAAATAAAAAATAATAAAAGAGATAATACAATACAATAAAATTCTCATCCAACATTTAGGTATTCGTTTTTTGTTTAGTTAGGCACCAAAAACACTGAGATAGGTTTAGGGTATTTTTAGAGCAGCCCAAAAAGAATCACAACAAATTGTAGTTTCAGACATAGAGAAACGCTTTGTAGATGCACCCCCTCTTGAAGTTTCAGCATTGCATGTTTTGCAAAAAGCTATCTGTTGTTCTTTCTCCGAGAAAGTGAAATAAGTCCACACCGACGACATGATGGCTATTATGTCGTTTCTTGAGTACTGGCTGCACTGCAGATTCAGTTCTTTAAGCTGAAAACCAAAAATGCATTTTTGGGTTATCAGAACGAAAATTTTTGGTGGCCACATATGCGCTGCACCCCTATTAAAAATCCTGTCCATAATGGTTATAAACAAAATTGATGACAAAGGGCAGCCTTGGCGGAGACCGGGTCTCACCAGAAAAGAGCCAACTTACCCGCAACGCGGACCAAGCTCTGGCATCATACAGGCTCACTAAACTTAATCACCACCTACTGGTGTGGCATGGTTATATCAGTGACTGTTTGCATGGAGAGCTGTTTGTTTCATACAATGAAGAAAAAATGTTTTTATGTAACTTTAGAACTCTAATTGTAGTCCAAATCTCAAAGCTTTTGATAGAGACGGTAGTGTTATTACCCCCTCCTAGGGCAAGCCTCTGTCACCCTGGTAACCAAACAGGCATGTTTCACTAGCAGACGTGAAACGAGCATGACCTTTTTACAGTAAATAAAAAAAGAAGCCTGTTGCTTTCCATGAATTTAACACATTATGTTAACTCTGTGTACCTCAGTGATAAAAAGGCATACCTATTCCACAGATTCTTACGGGATCAGTCTCTGAAATGCAATCTTCTCATGTAAAAGTCATTTGGGCAAAGAGGACAGATGGAGGATACATTTAAAACAAATAAAATGGGTGAAAACAGTCTGTTTACAATTTCCTATTGTGGTGAAGCTTTGGTGATGTTTAAGCATTAATTCATCTTGATAATTGCTTTGGTTATGGTTTGCAAGTAAAAATAATAGCACCTAACTTAGACCAGCCAACAACTGTTTTCATGTTTCAAACGGAACAAAGGATTCGCTTTTGCCACATAGACACGTGTTTGAGTTTCATGTTGAGATAATTTGGTGTGAAATGAATCAGAACAATGAAAACAACCTGTTGTGGTTTACATCTGACCTGTTCGGCAGCGACACGCTCAATTTACAGAGTCGATTTAGATTTAAAGATGCGAGGAATCATGTTTTATTCAGACTGTGCAGTGAAAGACTGAAGGCAGTTTTATGTCAGGTTGGTTTTGTGCGAAATCCGCTTTTCTGCTCCGGAATCTCTTTGTTTAGACCTTGGGCCTGTCAGTGAGCATGAAAAGAAGGGACTGCGTTGGCTCAAACTGTGGAAAACAAGGTCTTGTCACTGCCCCCACCGACACAGAGAGATAAGCACTAGGAGACTAAAACTTTTGGTCTGGACATCTACAGAAAAGGAGGATAACATTGTGATCTCATAATGGAAAATGTACGCAAAGCGATGAGCACAGATGTGTCAGGAGAGAGAGGTAGAAGGGGAGAAGCAAAAGAAGAGTCAGTGGTGTGATAAGAGAAGGCTTTGAGGGTGAGTCTTTCATCTGCGCTGAGCCGGGATGACAACCAAGAACTTTAATAAAAACGTAGCAGGCACCTCAAGCCTCATGCAAAAGTCCTACTACAAATCTCAACAACTACTATGAGGAATGTTTTGCTAAAACTGGTACATTTCAGCTTAAAAATATTTACATATAGCCAAGAATCAACACATTCGGTGTTCAAATCAGTTTCAGAATGAATTAAATGCCAAATGGCGATCAAAGGAAAATAAGTGTTTTCCCCAACCAAACAACAGACATTACACAGATTAACTGTCTTTGCTGAAACATACTATTACCACATAAGTCTCCGTCAAAGAGGGACCAGATGTCAGATAATAGGCTGTGCACTGAGAGGTAGATGCTGGCCTGGAGCTACACAAGTAGGAACAGCTTCTTCTACATAAACCTCCTCATTTTATGGACAGCTTGTCATCTGGGTGGGCACCCTACCCCCTACCCCCCCCCCCCCCCCCCCCCCCCCCCCATGTAGGATTTACGTTATAGAATTAGAAGATGTATCTGAATTTGAGAAGAATTCAGCATTGATCTGAAGCGTAAACCTGAAGAACAGTGAGGGGGGTAGCAGGATTTGGGTAGATGAGTTTTGCACAAAAGAATCACATATGAGCTCAGAAAAATGCTTCTTATTGTCTTCAAAGGAGCAGCTAAGTCCATCTCATTAAACACTACTGGGAATGTTTACTGGCTTATGCTGAGTGGATGGGATTTGCCTATGAGCAGCAGGAAGATGTAAGCGTTGTAGATGACACGTTTGCCTGTTTCAGCCTGACATCCAAAAAAACACATTTATTTAAACTTTGTCATTAAATAAAATCATACATAAAAAGGAGTAGCTGAGAGAGAACGAGAGAGGAAAAGTAGCTGCAGGGGGGAAAGCCAGTTGTTTACCTTATCTACTCGAACCTTTGTTTTTTCTGCCCAGCTTTGACATCACATTCACGGTTCCTCTGATGATCCGGTTCCGCCGCAGCGCGCCGTCAGGTCCGTGCGGCTGCTCGGTGCGTCCAAATCACCCGAGCACGTTTGCAGTTGCCCCGAAAACAGCGAGTGGACTCTAGAAATAACCGCACCGATATCAAAGCGAGCACATTTAGCCCGAAACGCAGGAAGAAGTCAAGGTGGCGACCCCCCCGGGTGCTCTCGCGCAAACGCGCGGCTCTGCAGCAGGTAGCTGTGCCCGGAATCGGACAGAGACCCACGGCGGCTTCTGCTGGAGGTGCCAATGACCGGGGCCCTTCACCGGGTTTCAGCCGTGGATGAGATCCGTGCCCACTGCCACGCAGCGCCGCAACATGGAGCTCTCCCACGGTTGCCACTCTGGGTCAAACCAAATAACAGCACTTCCGGCTCTAACTTTCAAAATAAAATTAAAAACTGTGTAGCACTTTACCTGATGTGGCTTGCAAAACATCGTGTCTGAAAATAATCACCATAAATGTAATATATATATTTTTTTATTTATAGATTCAAATCAAACCAGTAAAAACGCAAACGGACATGTTAGAGCAGGAAGTGGTTGTTCCCGTGGCTGCGCACTCAACAGAAACTTTAAACTTGAAAACAATGTATAAAATCTAATGAAATCAAATAACTTACTATTTTTAAACTAAAATATAATATGCAGTACCATTTTAATTGAGACAGACAAAAAAAAAATATCACGACATATCATGGAAAGATAGGTGCTATGCTCCACATTGACCAGTGCTTCCCAACATGGAGAATGCTACCCCTAGTGGTTTGTGAGTGCTTTAGAATAGAATCATGACACAACATAGAAAATATTTGAAAGGTTTTGTATTTTTATTAGTTTTAAACGGTCAATGTACATTCTATACATTTTTTTCTGCTTCATTTCATGTGAGAACGTTCTAAACCATTATTTTGACTTGTAGAAACAGAAGAAAATAATGTATCGGGGTACAGATTTTAGGCCACATGGCCCATTCCTGCCCAGATGAATAATAAACTCAACTTTTATCAGTCAAAAGAGCAAAAAGGCTTGAATAACTACATGAAGGAAAACTAGAGCAGCTGCATGTTGCTCTGCTACTGAGAGAGGGCATGAAGCCTTATTCAACACTGAATGCAGAATGAATGTGGTCCATTTTCACATAAATCAGAATCATTGAGTCCAATCAGAGCATTTACACCAGCTGTGATGCAGATCTGGAAGCAGAGCACCAGATAGTTTATTCAGTCTATTTTTTTCTAGACTCCACATCCATATGTTGGATGAGAATTTTATTTTATTGTATTTAATTGTATTATCTCTTTTATTATTTTTTATTTTGAACCATTGTGTCTGTTAATGAAAGTATCATCTATCTATCTATCTATCTATCTATCTATCTATCATCTATCTATCTATCATCTATCTATCTATCTATCTATCTATCTATCTATCTATCTATCTATCTATATCTATATCTCTATCTATCTATCTATCTATCTATCTATCTATCTATCTATCTATCTATCTATCTATCTATCTATCTATCTATCTATCTATCTATCTATCTATCTATTATCTATCTATCTATCTGTCTGTCTGTCTGTCTATCTATCTATCTATCTATCTATCTATCTATCTATCTATCTATCTATCTATCTATCTATCAGTCTGTCTGTCTGTCTGTCTGTCTGTCTATCTATCTATCTATCTATCTATCTATCTATCTATCTATCTATCTATCTATCTATCTATCTATCTATCTATCTATCTATTATCTATCTATCTGTCTGTCTGTCTGTCTGTCTGTCTGTCTGTCTGTCTGTCTGTCTATCTATCTATCTATCTATCTATCTATCTATCTATCTATCTATCTATCTATCTATCTATCTATCTATCTATCTATCTATCTATCTATCTATATCTATCTATCTATCTATCTATCATCTATCTATCTATCTATCTATCTATCTATTATCTATCTATCTATCTATCTGTCTGTCTGTCTGTCTGTCTGTCTGTCTGTCTGTCTGTCTATCTATCTATCTATCTATCTATCTATCTATCTATCTATCTATCTGTCTGTCTGTCTGTCTGTCTGTCTGTCTGTCTGTCTGTCTGTCTGTCTGTCTATCTATCTATCTATCTATCTATCTATCTATCTATCTATCTATCTATCTATCTATTATCTATCTATCTATCTATCTATCTATCTATCTATCTATCTATCTATCTGTCTGTCTGTCTGTCTGTCTGTCTATCTATCTATCTATCTATCTGTCTGTCTGTCTGTCTATCTATCTATCTATCTATCTATCTATCTATCTGTCTGTCTGTCTGTCTGTTAAGCATAATGTGTAAGCTGACATGTTGGATCAAATGAAACGTTTTCTTCTGGCCAATAAAGTCTTAAAATGACAGATTGTGTCTTTTTCATTAAATAGCCTATTTTACTGAACTGTTTGTAGAAATTAGGCTGATCAAGTCTTTATCTGACTTTAGAGCCAGATACAGAGACAGATGTGGGAGAAAAAGGAAGAGACAAAAGGAAGATGGGGGGGGGGGGGGTCTACAAAAATAAACAATCAATGATGAACAAGAGTCTGCTTCTAGACCTGCAGAATGAGAAAAACAAAAAAAGGGGGACACACAACAATACAAGAGCAAGGTATCACTGTGTCAACCTGTTGAGGAAAAGTAAAATCAACATTGTTTTGCTGAACAATCACACAACAATATATCACAGTGCATTTAGTGCCAGCCTCAGCCTTAAGACATGTGTTGAAAATGCCCAAGTCCATACTTATGAGAGCACCATGTGAGCACCTGTGTGCGTTCACGTGCTTGTATATGTAAGGTTCCTCTATAGGAGCGTCCAATAGAGAGTGTGGGGGGCCACAGATCTGCCCCCAAAGATGTGTAGGAGATGGAGGGAGCTCCAAGCCCCAGAGATCCAGGAGCTGCCTCAGAGCGCAGGGGTCCCAGGGAGACTGTAAAACACCTGCTGCCTACAGTAAAACATGCAGTTGTTCCATCATGCTTTGGGGCTGTGTGGCCAGTGAAGGGACTGGGAATCTTGTTAATCATCAAATTGCAAGTTGAGGTGCTGAGCAACAATGGTGAAAATCTCTACAGTGGGATGTGAAAGTTTGGGCAGCATTAATCTTCATGATTTTCCTGTATAAATTGTTGAAAGATCCAGCCCTGGTGCAGCTTCAGCTTTGTCACTGATTCCTGGACATTGGTCTCCAGAATCATGCTGATGTTGAGTGAAATGCGTCCCTCAACCCTTTGCCTGCCTGCTCAACCAATTGGTAGGGCATATCTGAAGTCACTACATCTCATTGAAGCCTTAAATGAACTTGACAAGAAAAAAAAATTCTAAAACAAGAAATTCTAAAAAACATGGATTTGTTTGAAGAAAAGGCATAACATTATTACATAGCATTATTATTAGCTTGATATTATTATAATTAGTACATTATTAATATTATTACTTGACATTAAACTAAAATCCTTATTGCCCCAGCAAAGGTGGAGTGTTTTCATTGTGAGGATGTTAAAGGGTTAAAAGCCTCTAAGACTGCTGCTCTTTTATTTGTTGGTAAAAGATGAATTATTGGTGTCTAGAATAAAAAGAAAAAATGATCTAAGCAACAGATAGGAAATGTTGAGGCTCTTCATTAGCTGGGAGCTTCTCCTTACTGATTAACCTTCTTAAGTAATCAGCGTCCCATGCCTGAGTATTGACATCTCTTTATGTATGGTTTGTGAGTATCACATTAGTGGGAATTTTTCTGCCTTTCTTGGGAGAATTTCTGTGTGTGTGCAGACACAACCCATAAGTAAACATTCAGTGGGTGGTGGGAGGCAGGTCTTATGAATTATTCATAATGAAAGAAGGCACTAATACCAAAATCATTCATAATTATTCAAGAAATGCAAGGTCGATGTCAATCAAACTTCCATTCTTCTCCCTGCAGATTGACATTTAAAATGATAAACGGAGAAGGCGTTGGTGGGTGCCATGGAATATCTTGGCCCCTTGTTCAATCATTCACAAAATATTGCAGACCTGTTAGCCAGAATAAGGATCAATGACACCAAATAGTGGAAGGAACCACAACAAATAAGCTGCTACATTTTGTTATAATTTAGTTTATCTTAATCCTTTGCATGATTATAATGCTTCATAATTAACCCAAACCACACGGCTTGCGTAAATTGGCAATTTCAAGTGAGAACGGAAACATGAATGCTCTGGGAATCTGCTAAATTTGTGGTTAAATTTTAATTACTTAGTGGCATTAGTGCTGATTCATGTGATTATGAAATAAATGATTGTGTTTTTATCTGGCATTAGCTGTGATCTGCATACTCTCTTACCCTGTGATTAAATCTTAACCAATATTTGATGTGAAGTGAAGAGGCACGTTTACAATGTGAACTTTTGTTCACATTGTTTTAAAACAGTTTTCAAGAATTTCATTTTCACGTTTTACCTTTTAGTTAAACCTACACTGCTTTTTGTTATATTAAGATGTTTTTAAACAGCTTCTTTTAAATAGTTGATGTTTAATCTCTTTTGACATTTATGACAGTCAAGGCATAACTGTAGGACAATGTCCCAGCATGCAAAAACAAGGCAGCTATATTAAATATTTGTCCTTTTAAGGTTCCTTTTTTGGGAAAGTGAAACACCTCAGCAAGACCCATGGAGACTGGCTTTGTGTGCAGGTTTTCAGACAAGCTGTGAGCATGCGTGTGTCAGCAGCATTGATGGATGAAGTGGTCACAGATAGAGGAGAGTATAAGCTCCCACACACACCTCAGGAAACACACACGCTTCCCCCAGGCTTTGAATGAAACCCGACCAGAGCTTTCTCAATCTCTGCCGTCCTTTGGTCTCCGTCTGAATAAATAAAAGTAAAGAGTAAAGTCCAGACTCTCTTTAACAGACTGCAGGAGAGGAGGGGATTAACCGGGGGCTAAAAGAAGATCATCAGACTCACGGGGAGCCAAAGAGGTGGCTCAGTCAAATCTGGACCTGGATCTTACTCTAATCTACTGGAGCAGCAGCTATTGTGCTTCACCAGATGTTCCACCAATAAGAGGCATAAAGGCCTCATGGTTTGGGATTTTATTGCCTTTATGATTTGCACATGGTTGGGGCTGGTAGAGGAGGATAAACAAAGGCTTGTATTGTTAGTTATAATTAACAGAATTAATTCAAGATTCAGTCATACTTTAAAACCATCCCAGATACACATAAATCAGAGCAGATAGTTAACATCTCTTTTACAGAGTAAATCAAAACAACATAAGAAAGAAATGATCAAAGAAAGAAAGAATAACACACAAGCACACACGATGCTCTGCACCTAGCATGAATCTGAAGCTATGTCTTAAATAGAAACTTGAAAATGTTTTGTTCTGAACTGTTAAACAGAACTCTGATGGAGATGCATCGTTTTAAAATAATTGTGCACACATTAGATCATCTTGATAACCCCTCCGCATTTATCCAGCTGAAGAACAAGGACGTGCTCACATGTATTAACCAATAATATTTGATGTTTTTAGATTAAATCAGACGAGGTTAGTGATGTTTAAGCTGTGATGCATTTAGTCACATACAGTACTGAAATGCTGTGTGTTTTCTGAAATTCTGTGGTAAAATGAGATTGAATGAACATTTTTAGATAGAAATCTCCACATTAGATGAGGCTTGCAGGTTCTGTGCTCTTGAAATCCTCATTAGTAAATGAACATCAAATATTTTTGTGAATCTTACAGTAGGATTATAGTCTGTGTAGTGCTATTCAGCTTGATATCATTTTAAATGTGATTATTCTAAATGTGGGCTGCATATTGAGGCAAGACAGTGGTTAGCGCTGTTGCCTTGCAGCAAGACCGTCCTGGGTTCATATCCTGGCCTGGGGTCTTTCTGCAAGGAGCTTGCATGTTCTCCCTGTGCATGCATGGGTTCTCTCTCCAGCTTCCTCTCACAGTCCAAAAATAGGTTGACTGATCTTTCTAAAATTGGTTTGAGTGTGTGTGCATGTGTGTTTGTGCATGGTTGTTTGTTCTGTGTGTTTCTGTGTTGCCCTGCGATGGACTGGCAACCTGTCCAGGGTGTACCCTACCTGTTTGCCCAAAGACAGCTGAAGATGGACACCAGCCCCCGCAACCCTGCGTGGATGAGCAGGTAAAGAAAATGCCTGTATGGACTATTCTAAAAGCTGTTTTGTGAAACTGCATACATAGAAGCATACCCCTTGGGGGTTTTGGTAGTGGCCATGGGTCGCTGCCTGGCAGCTGCATTGCCCCTGGGCAGGTCTGGGTGGGGGCCTGGGGGCTCGGGGTGTGGGGGTGGTCAGCCCTGTGTGGGGATCTGGACGGGGCCTTGGGGGTCGGGTCCTGACATGTATGCTGCCGGGAAGAAGGCGGGAACATGTGGCAGTGCCTGGCCCGGGCTCAGGGGCCTCAGGTAGACCTTGGCTCCTCTGTTGTCCCATAACAGGGGAGGGGGATGTCCAGGAGGGGGAAGACCCAACCTTACCTGGATGTCCCATGTCTTATATATTCTGTAAGTTGTGCAAATGTAGGGATGGGAGTAGATATTCTGCTGGGGTGGGGCTGGGATGGTGTCCTCGGACTCCGTGAGGCTCTGTGTTGCTGCTGCTTTGGGCCCTGGCAAGATGGGCTGGGGTCTCCATGCCCTGGGTGGCATTTTGGCAACAGAGGTGCTTATTGGGGCCAGTGGGGGAGCTGGCTCCCTGGAGGGCTTTAGTCCAACCAGACATTCCTCCCCATCCCCACACATTTTTCTCCTCCTGCTCCCTCACATCATCACACAAACATGCACAAAGGACCTTGGGGGGTGGACAAGTCAGGGAGTGCGGGTATGGACCCCATTTCCGCATTCCTGTGGCAACCTGCCCCCCAATTTTATTTGCACCTTAAACACTCCCACCAATGATATTCCAAGCAAACACACACTTAGGGCCTTGGGAGTGAGCACATTCAATGGCACTTGGCAGGGGGATTTTCAGCCTCATCCCGAGTGCCGGTGCCCACTTCCAATTTTAAACTGCACTTAGACACCGAGGGCTGTGGGTGAAAGTGGGGTGGTGTGGTGGCAACAGCTGGCATAGGACAGACGATGCCCGCACACTGCCCGCTCACCACAGTCATGGAATACACCTCATCAACACTCACTAACACCATATTGGAGCAGGCGGAGGGAGACTAGGGGTCTTAGCACACCTTTGTTGTCGCTTGGCTTCCTGGGGCTGGAGACTAGGAGGGAGATCCGGCCGTCCGGTTGGGGTCTGGGGTGGTGGGTTTGCTGTGCTCAGTGTTGGGCGGGGGAGCCTGCTCATTAGCACCCCAGCAGAAAGGGTCGAACTCTGGGAACCGGTAATGGTTGTACCCCATGTGCAGCAGTACCAGGACCAGAGTGAATAGGGTGTGTATGGGGAGCATGAGTGGGTGTCCGGCGTGCATTTTTGTAAGTATTTGGTTGTATGTGTATGTGTGAGCATGAGGGAGGGAGTGTGTGACTGTGTTTGTGTATGACTGTATATGTCAGGTGGGGCCTTTGACTCCTCCCTTCTCCTGGGACTTCTTTTGATGATATAGATCTTCGTCTCACCTCTCCCTGCCACACCTGGTGTGGAGTGTGGTGCCTTGGTCTGCCTGGGTCATGGCTCCCGGGTCAAGGAGTTTAAGATTTTTGGCATCTGCCTGACCAATCCCGGTGGGTGCCTGGTGGGGTCTGGGTCCCTGGGCTCTGCTGGGTCCCCGGCACGGGTGGTCGACCCTGGGACCCGGGTCATTGGGTCCCGGGCTCGGCCGGCTAGGGGGTGGGAGGCTGCGGGCGGGCCTGTGGGCTTGCCACCGATATCTCCCGGGACTCTGCCGGCTGCTGGTTGTGGCCCCCCGGGGCAATCCTCTGCGCCTCTCGAGGAGAGCGGGGGCTTTTCTGGTCGCAGTCTCCCTGGAGTTCCTGTGCTCTGGGGCAACTCCTGGATATCTGGGACTTGGAGCTCCCTCCATCTCCTGCACATCTTTAGGGGGCATATCTGTGGCCCCTCACACTCTCTATTGGACGCTCCTATATCGAAACTTTACATAAACAAGCGCGTGTACACACACTGGAGCCCACATGGTGCCCTCATAAGTATGGATGTGGGCACGTTCAACACATGTCTTAAGGCTGTGGTTGGCACTAAAGGCACTGTGATTTATTATCGTGTGATTGTTCAGTTAAACAATGTTGATTTTATATTTCCTCATCAAGTTGACGCAGTGATAGCTTGATCTTGTTGTATCCAATTTTTTGTTTTGTTTTGTTTTCTTCTCTCTTTCTGCAGGTCTAGAAGCAGACTCTTGTTCATTATTGTTTATTTTCTGTTTTATAGTCTTATCAGAGGAATTGTCATCTGAAGATGGTGACTGGTGCAGGATTTGTCACAGTGTTTGTGTTTCACCAGATGACCCTCTGTTCTCACCCTGCCTGTACAAGAAGTCTGCGGTTTGTTCACTCCAGCTATCTGCAGACATGGATCCAGATGTAAACCCAATCAGGTCATCAAACAAACAAATCATCTGCATTCAAAACAACTAAAGAAAGGTTGTGTAACATACTGTGCCCACCGCTCCTCCAGGGCAGAGCTGCACTGTTACTTAAATATGTGACCTGTGTAAAGGAGAACTGGACCCGCTGATGCTTCACCATGAGGACAACAGTCCAACAGAGCTCCAGGTAAGCTGAGGAGGAATCTCTTCAACAAAAATTTCTAAAACGAATCAAAGTTATGTGCTTTTTTCTCAGGACGAGACAGACTCATGAGACACAGCAGAGACAAATAGGTCAAAGACCCAAAGATGTCTCAAAACAGCCAGCATGATAATCACTTTTATCTCGTTGTTGTCATGATTTTCCTTTAGTTAATTATGAACCAAAATCCTTTCAAAATAGAAAACAGAAGGACTGGAATACATAGATCAAAAATAATAAATGAAATAAAGAAGTAATATAATTTTTGACATATGTATGGACAGAATGTCACTTGGGGATGTGAAACTTGAATATATAACTCAAGCATCAATTTTGCAGATGCAGAAATGGGCTGTGACACGTGCGTCACCACGGGTTCTTCAATCAATCCCAAACTAGCTGACTGCAGCTAAACATGAAAGTGTTGGAATAAACTCTGTAGCATTCAAGTCAAGGGAGCTGATTATTATAGCCAATAATGAGAATTGGTGAATTATTGAAGGATTTAATAAACATGCAGGATCATAGAGTAAATGTTTAAACAGCAGAAGAACTGGGGCCAACAATCTGCACTAATGTAGCCAGAGCAAAGTCACTGATGCTTCTCCTGGAGATTCCTGTGATGTGGTTCAGTTCACCGATTAGCTGCAACGTATAAAGACAAAACAGCTATTAAAAGGTTTGCTCAGCTCAAGCACATTATGAAGGATCAAATAGACAATCTAACTATGCTGATGTGTTGGAGAAAATATATATATTTTTTATATATATATAGAAAAAATGTTCCACCTGTCTCCATTTTTTGACATGAAGGATGAAAGTTGCCACCGCAATGACTCCGACCCCAAGAAGCATGAAGTCCTCAGTCACGGCCACAAACTTCTCTCTGGTTTTAGATCAACAGTTTAAATGAAAAACATACTAGGTGTTATGTATGAGTGACATGTTCCTCTAGGACAGGAGTGGGGAACCCTGGTCCTCGAGGGCCGGTATCCTGCACATCTTTGCTTCAACACTTCTGATTCAGTGGTTGATTCACCTGTTCTGCAGCTCGTCAGGCTCTGCAGAAGCAGGTGGTTTGAAACATGGTTGAAACTAAAATATGCTGGATAGCGGCCCTCCATGGACCAGGGTTCCCCACCCCTGCTCTAGGACGTCAGCTTACGGCCTGTATTTGATATAGCTCCTTATAAATCCTAGAACCCCCCAAAGTGCTGTATAGCACAACCAATTGTGCACACACACATTCACACAATGGTGGTGTTGAGCTACAGCTGCAGCTGCCCTAGGGCACAATGACAGAGGCGAGCCACCGGTCCCTCTGACCACCACCAGCAGGCAGGTGGTTTAAATGCCTTGCCCGAGGACACAACAGCAGCATTCTGTCATGGGCTGTGCTCAGCTAACCTCTGTCTGGGTCTGAGTCTCTCTGTTTGCAGGTGGGCATGTCCCGGAGAGCAGCTGCCACGGATCCCCTCATCAGAGGTCAGGGGATTTAAGGAGCGGCGTGACAACTCACCAGTGCCGGATGATTACTCAGTACTGGGTAGTATCTCATCTGTACTCTGCCTGTCGTCTCCTGTGTTCCCTGCTAGCCTCGTACTTACCTGCCCTGTTCCTCTGTTACGTCCTCTATTGGTGGATAAGGAGAAGGACGGGGAGTAACACAAAGGCATGTGTTTCAGGTGTGGAAATTGTAAACATTGATTTTATTAAAAGGATTTTAAAATGACAAAAAGCTCCAAATGTAAAAGTACTTAAAACACATTGTTAAAATGGCCAAGGGTTTATGTTTAAAACAGACATCCGAATGCTCCCAAACATTCACAATCAAAGTCCACTGACTTACACACAAGTTTGGGAACCAAGAGGAGACCAGCTCTCTGGTCCCTCGTCTGTTAAAAACCTCTAAAAGCTCTTAAGCTTCATTAAGCTTAAAGAACTAAAACCCATTTAAAAGCCATTAAAACACAAACAAATGGAGCACATGAGAGAACTGGCACAGATCCAGTCTCTCCCTTCCTCCCGGCAGCTCTCCCTTTTATGCTGCTCAGGAGGTGATCAGCCCAAGTGAGTGCAGCTGTTCAGGTAGGAGGAGGAGGCAATGCACTGATTGTCCTCTGCAGAGTTCGTTTTCTGGGACAAAACAGCAACAGCTGTAACACTTCCGACTCCCCCCCCCCCCCCCCCCCCCCCCCAGGTACCACTCGTTCATTTGACTGCACTTCTCTTCAAGAAAGAAACTTCCGGAATCACCCTGACCGCCAGCCACGCCGCTCACCCTGACCGCCTGCTCTCCAACGCTCGCCTGCCCCGCTCGGATACTTTGGACTCCTGTGCTCAGCTCCCAGCCATCATCTCTGCCCCTCACAACCATCTCGCCCAGCCAGACCTGACTCGCCCTCCTCTCAAGCTCCCCAAACGCTCAGGAAACCGTAAGCCTCCTCTCACCTCACTTTCTCATTTTACTGCAACTACTCATTCTTGTCTCTGCTTCAGAACACTATTGGACCCTCCCGACCGCAGACCTTCACCTGCACTTCAACCAAACAAAAATAAATACTTTTTTACTTACCTTTGCCTCAGTGGTGATTCTACATGTCGTGGGTCAAAAAAAACTACACCCCAACATGACGCATTCTCTGCCTACAACCCTGTGATTCCTGGACAAACTGCTCTACCTCCTGAGCCACTGCTGTCTTCTAGGAACACTAACTTCAACTGCTGAACAAAACACAGGAGCACCTTGGTGTGTGTCCAAAAGCCGAGTGGCAGCAAAGCTTTTCAGAAAATGTTACAAGAGTTTGGTTCTGAGTTGTTAACATGTCTGTGTGTTAACTCCAACAAGACCCAACGTCTTCTTGCTCTCTAACACTAACTTTTGGTGACTGGGCCGTATTTCTTTCTTTTGCTGTTCTCTACTTCAACACATTTCACAAACGTGTACAAAATATTTGCTTGATTTCTTGTGCTCAATTAAACTAGTGGAAAATATAAAAATGCCTCTTCAACAGTAAATCTATGATTTGCTACAGAAAATATTCCATTTTAACTGAACTGATTTGCTTTCATAGCAGAAAATTTCAGCAGAAGAATCTCTAGAAGATGTTTCCGCTGCTTTGCCAGTCAGGAAGCAGAATGTAGATATATACCGGACAACTAGACATCCTGATATTTCCTCAGGACTTGAACACTGATCTACTTACCTGAACACAACCCAAAATGATTCCAGCTTCAAGGATCAGGATGCACTCTTCTGCTTAAAATATGCTTGCCCAATCTCAAAACGTAATTGCATGAAATTATTGTGGTTTGACATTTCATCATTCAGTAGCTTTTGTATCAGCGTGTCTTTAGAGAAATTTGGTCTTTTTCTCTGTCAGCCCGACCACATGCTCCACATGTTAGAACAAACAAACGTACTACCTCTGATTCCTGGATGGCCTGGCACACTGAGTGGTGATTTGTAACAGGTTTTTATAGACAGCAGCCCTGTCCAGGGTGATGAACTGGAGGACCTGGTGGCAGAGTTGATGAAGGCGTTCTACAGAGGTGGAGGGCTGATTGTGGCCTACAAAGTGTATTAAATTTTTAAGAGTGAAGACATTGACTTAAGAAATAAAAACACAAAGTTATTCTGATTAATGTGATGCATGTGTGTGTGTGTGTGTGTGTGTGTGTATGTGTGTAAAACAACTTACAGAGCACCTCCAGAAGTATCTCCACATAAGCCAGAGGGTTGAGGACATTTAGAGTGAAATCAAGCCCTTTCAAGACCATCAGCTCTGATTCCAGGATCATCTGTTTGGGAACACTGAGGCCAGTGGATTGCAGGAAACATACAGCAATATTGATGTCAATCATCTAGAAAATACAACAGCAAAGAACCAGATATGGTTGTTTTATTTCAAATAGCAGGGTACTGGCAATCTCCATTATTGGCATGACAGAACGTACATGGCTGTGCAAAAACAATTTGTTTGCAAGCTGTACACAGGAAAAGATGATGAGGGGAAATTTATCTTTCAGTTTGTCAAAAACTGCATTCTCGTAGCTTGTTGGTCCTTCAGCAGCGGCATCTTCAGGCGTGAGAGTGGTGGCTACATCAGAAAGGTGTTTGACCATGAACCTAGAAGAGATGAAAAAGGGACAAGGTTTATAGACGCAAGAGGGGGAGAGTAGCATGTATTAATACTTTCTTACTTTTGCAGAAGTTCAACTGCGTGGTATCCAACCAGAGGGTCAAGTCTCAGTTTGTTAACAGTCTGGAACACGTATTCTAGTAAACAAATGATGAATGTAAGACAGTAACACAAATCAAAAAGAGCTTGCCATTATCTCAAACAAAAATGACACAAACAAAAATTATTTTTGTTGAACATTCAAATGTATCACTTTTATTATCATTGTGCTCTCAACACTTGTTTTAGCATCTAGGCTAGCTAGGGTTTAATAAGGAGGATACTGGTGATAATGACCTCTATCTTGGAAAATCCCTCCCATTCACTGCATTCCACTGTGGAGGCCATGGATAGTGGCAGACTGAGACATCCTAGATGCAAACCAGAACCTACCATAGATCATTCATCCCCTCTGCAGTTAAGAGTGTATAACGCCTCAGTTTAACTGGTACTGGCATTATCCTGGTACACAATAACATCAGCGCAATATTCAGTACTTGTGCAATACCAGATGTACATTAGTATGTCTGTGTCCCTTATGTTGCATAGTTCTGGTAACACAAGTTTCCTTTTGATTTGTTGTTTTTAGTGGTTGAAGGCTGCAATAATAGCTTATTGTCTTCATGTGTTTACCTGTAATTTTATTTATCTTCTTCCTTTTTCTAAGTGTATGTGCTGCTGTAGCAAGCAAATTTCCCCACTGTAGGATCAATAAAGTCTATTCTATTGAGGAGTGGGCATCTAGACTTGAGAGTCAGACTATCTAAATCACAGGATAAACAGATGTTGGCCTTGCAGTTGATTAAGCACTGATGATGTGAGATAAGAGGGCCAACCACAGTTTGAAGGAGTTCACATAAGAAAAGATTACTTTGAACACATTTTTCAAATATAAGTTAGTGTTTTGGTGAAAAATAAAATCTGTAGTTTATATTTGGTGTAGCAATCGAGAGCTCACAATCTCTGGAAAATAGTAATCTATTCATTGACCTTTAATTGTAAAACAATAAAAAATATTAAAAATCTGAGTTTTATTCCTTAGAAACATAACCATACACACATAACAAACAAGGGAATTAACAATTTTTTACTTGAAAATAACAATTGAGCCAGGAAAAATATTTAATCTGAAATATGTGAGTGCATAAAAAGTTACATTAGATTAAGGGCTAGTTAATCGTAGCTGTAACGCCTGGTGCACACCGGAGGCGGACGTGCTGCGTCATGCCCGAAATTTTGAGGAGTCAAGTGGTCACACAGGACGTGCTGCTGAGCGCTTCTTGGAAAGTTGTGCGATAGTCACAATATCATGACTTGAGAACACAAAGCGGGAAGTGACTCTATTGTTTATATGTGATCATACTTGCCGTCATGTTTTGTGAGACTCAAATTCATTAAAAATGAGTAAGTTCGCTATTTATTTGAATATTTTAAGATCAATAGTACTTTCAAGTTATCAAAATTGCAGCTAGGTTTGTACTAACATTCGGGTTTGTGCCGTGAAGCCATACCGCGTCATAATGTCTTTTGTAAAGTACTACACAATGATGTAAGCAGCCGCAGCACTTGAGTTAGAACTGGTGCCTATCTTCAGCACCTAGCCGCTGGTCTGCTAGGCAACAGCATTCATTGCATTTTTTAAACAGGAAGTGGAAGTGGAGTATTACTCTGGGAGGGGGTGACTTGCTCTTTAAGAGCATCTTAGTTTAAATTTAAATATTCTGCCTAAAACTGTCAGTGTTGTGCCATCATCAACTAAAATATCTGCACTACATTTGCATTTAAATCTGCCATTGCTACTGGCTAAGAGGTACACTATGTTAGCGGGTACATTATGATGTCACAATGTTGTTGTGAGCCTGTTTGTGTGTATTTATTAGCGGCTACGCCCTCTCAGGCTGCCAGGCAACAGCATTTTGCATTTTTCAAAAAGGAAGTGGGAGTGGAGTAAGACTCTGATAGGGGGTGACTTGCTCTTGAATTGGTGTTTTTTTTAAATGCTAAATGTGTTTTTGCATCACAAATTCTCATTGCCAGTTGAGAGCACCTCCTCCACAACAACCTTTTCACAGTGTTTTCAAAATCTCTAAAAAAAGGCAGCAGATAGTCAAAAGAAAGAAATATGATGTTTTTTATTATTATCATTAACAACAACAACAACAATTATTATTATAAATAGCGGTTATAAACGTAAAATGATGAACCAAGTAAAAATCCGTAATAGTTCACTTACCAACGAGTCTTTTCTGTTTGAAGATTCCGCTACATTTCGGTAAACTATTAAGATAATCTTTGTTTGATTTGTTGAAGTTGACGAGAACGTCGTCGAGAAGGTCAAAAGAGGTTGTACGAAACTTTAAACCTTCATCTTGACGTTGGCCCGGAGGACAAATGAGTCTCTTCGCCATTTAGTTACAAAAAACACCGTATGACGTTAGCCTTTGGTATACAATATGTTTGACTATTAATTAAACCAACCGAACGTGTTTCTGTTGAAAATTAATTGCAGATTAAAGAAAATGCGGTGTGATAATTTCCAAAAGATGGCGCTATTCGCTATTCTTCAGAATAGTTGCAAGTAGGAACTAAAGTTGCAACACGGGAATTATTTTCCAGTTGCACAGTCATAATGGTCATGCGTCATGCTCAAAGCTTAGATCTCAACACCTATTGATAGGCTACGCTCCAGCTGCTCAATTCTAAAAGATCTTTTGAAAGTTTGCGACGTGTGTAACAGTTGTGAAACAGCCTCATCGTGTCGACCACCGACATGGCAGACCAGAAACCTCCAAAGTCTGATTCTCCGTTCGCCACAAGGATAGACCCGACTAAAGACACTCTCTCTCGGGAACAGATTTATTTTATCAGACAAGCAGAGCTTGAACAGTGGAAGAGGAAAACATCAAAGCTTCGGACACGAAATGTAGTGACAGGACTCGGTATCGGAGCGCTCGTGCTGGGTATCTGTATCCTTGTCAGGCTCCTTTACATCAGTGCAAGGTGAAATACGCAACGTTAGCTTAGCATGCTATATTTATCCAGTAACAAATGCAAGAAAACATTTTTATTGCGTCAATATCATTAATAACATGCGTTTGTCGTACCGGATGGTACTTTAGACTGAATTCTGTGTTAATCGCTTGAATACTAAATATATTTGACTGTCAGCTATGCAGGCTAGTTAGCTAATGTAGCTCTGAGTGCGTATGAATGAAAGTAGTGGAAAGTCGTTACTGTTTACCATAAGAAGGGTGTTTCTCAACTAAATGTTGACTGAAGATAAAAAGCCCCCCGACTCGTGTTTTTATTGTTTCAGGTCTCATGTCTTCCAGGTGTTTTGGTTTTAACACATCCTGGCTGATTTCAGTGTTTTAATAGTGAGCTGGATCAAGTGTATTGGAGCAGAGAAACCACTAAAACGTGCTGGATACTGGCCCTCGAGGCCCGGAATTGAATAGCCCTGCCATATATAATTTTACTATAGTAATGGAATCAAAATCTCTGCAAGAAGCTTAATTTAATGTTTAATCTTTAAAGTAAATGCACAGTGAACAATACTATTTTTAAAAATGCGTACATAATTTAACTAGGAAGTAAAGCATATGTTGATTCAGTCCAACACATTACATCATGAACTGCCTTACTTAGAATTAAGAATGCTGTTTAAAACATTTTATTCACATTTTTAGTCAAAGACTGAAGCATGTACTGGATTTACCTCATTGCTATGCCATGGATATTTGCCTTGACCCATTGCTCCCATATCAGATGGCTACACATTTTATTCAGTCTCTCAGGAACGGATCATGGATGAGATCGATGAGGAGGCCAAGCGTTCCAGACTGTCGGGACCAAAGACTGGAGCCAACTGATTTTCTGCTATCCTGTTCACTATGTGCAAATACTCAAGAGGACAGATGATGCCACTGATTCACAATTTATATCTGGCTGCTGGCTTTTTATTATTTGAATTTTTTTTTTTTACAGAACTGTACTTTGTTCTGTCTAGATCGAGGGAGTTGTTTTCTTGACTTTTAATTTGATCCATCTAGATATTCCTTTCAGTGGAAGGGACTAATCCGCTGACCTCAGTGTGGGTTTTTAAGGCAACACACAGGGCTCCGATAGGAGCTTAACTACCACCACTAAGATGAGGTTTACAGCTCGGATCATGAATGAGGGAAATGCAAATGATTAAAGTTGGTTAATAACTTTAAATCAACCATGGCCTTGATGAGATAAATTGACAGTGACGCAGGTGGAATTGAAATGAATCATATTGGTAAAATCTGTTATTTATGTTGGTAAAATATGAATTTGTGTTAAATCGGATGTAACATCTGTAAAAGTTATGTATTCGTGTTACCAAGTAAACATGACAGAAAAAACAAAAGAATTTACAATTGCATTTATTTGTTTTCCATTTTAATATAGAATCTGATCTAGCAACAACTTTTGAATAAAAACAAAGTAAGACATTTTAAGGGAAAGGCACAGATTCAGCTTGGCAGAACAGCAGCTTCAGGAAGCAGTACAATTATAACTATTTACATTCAAATCTTTGATTAATAACTTTTCTTTGAATACATTACAGGAGTTTGAGTAGCAGAAAACACTCTGTTAATATTTTATAAGGCCACCGCTACAGAGTCATATGATCACCACCTTTACGTACAGTCCAGAAACCAAGATATGATCGTTACTGTGATCTATTTTGAGACTCATATTCTTCCTCCTTTAGTGAAAGAATGTAACGAACAAACCGTTAAACCACATTTATCTTAAACGATGAACTAAAAGCAATTTGCTAAAGTGCACAAGGTGCTTGATCCATAGAACAAGCAAAAAATATATATTTTTGCTAAAAATTAAAGAAACAAGGTGGTGAAAATATTTTACTTGTAAACATAATTTATAAATGCATTCAGATATATACACATGTACAGTCAACAGGGAAGCCAGTAGTTTAAGTGGGTTTTCATGATGAATATGAAGATATGAATATTTCCCCATTTCAATCCAGCTATAAAACATTAAAAATGAACAGAAATGTTAGGTTATATTCCATTAATTTCCTTCCATTTAATAGTTCAAAAACACGCTTCTTCTAAAATGAATGTCACATTTTTATAGCGGATGTCTGAGCTCGTCTGAACGGTGTCAGTCAGAATGGAGTATCCTGTTACATCATTCTTAAAAAGATGATATTTTTATGGGACTTGTTTGGGGGAAAAACCTAACTACAATGTCTTTAGATTGTTCACATCCACCTTTAAAAGGGAGCCTTGCTGTGGTTATAGCTGCTGTGCTAAGATTAGCACATGTACAATCAGACACGCAGGGAAACATCCGCTTCGGTCATTCTGGGTCAGTTTCATGCTACATCTCTGCAGCTCGTACCATCCCTTAACTGCGTCAGAGGAAGCATTAAATAGAAATCCTGCAGAGCCTTTTGGCAATCATCTTTTTATGTTTAAACTGTTGGAGTCTGTTGGTTTATTACAAAGGAGCAAAAAAAAAAAAAAAAAAAAACTTAACATAAACCAGACCACTTTCTGCATCAGCTGCAATGTCAGCAGAACTGACAGAGGGCTGAGAACTGGATGTTCCTGCATTGTTCCAGATTTACGGCTAATACTTTCCATATATCTGAGGTAACGGAGCTTTTCATCACTGACGAAGTGAAGCGGTTAGCTGACTGGTGTCAATGAAAGGGTTAAAGAGTATTTTGACCATTTGCGGTCACACTTCAGATGAGGTAGTCCAGATGTACAGCACGCTTGGCTGAGTTTCTTACTAGAAAAAGAAAACAATTTGAGGGATTAAGTGAGGAAATTACTTATATTGCATTTAACCATAAGACTGGTAGTGATCGGGCCACTCACCATTCTACTAATGTCAGTAGCAAAGGTGACTCCTTTGCTGGGTTTGTCCTGTGAGCTGCTGCTGCTGCCTCCCAGAGAGTTTCTCCTAATGATACCTTTAATAAAGCACACACTGTAAATATGCATCTCTGAGAATAACTCTGAATGAAAAAGGAACACTGCTGTCACCTGGGAGAGGCAGCATGTCCACACGCTGCAGACTGTTCCTGCGAGACGAGGGGAAGCCGCTCCCTTTAGACAGGCGGCGCTGCCGACTGGACAGCATAGCAGCAGGGGACACGATGCCTGGTGGGGGAACCTTCCCCATCCTCTCATACAATTCCTCAATCTCTTTCTTCTGGGCCGCCTGCAGAGCCTGAACCTCGGACTGATGTCTGATGAAAGAATAAAATGCAATGAATAATGAAATGTATATATACGCAAATTGGCTTTTTTAGTTTCTCATCTAGTTGCTGTTGTTTGTCTTTGGTGTAATGTTAAAAAGTATCTGATGGATTTGGATGAAACTATCAGAAAATAATTTCTCATGAGATCGTCAACTTTCATTTTTTTTATACCTCATTTAATATGGTCATAGTCAATATTGGCATATGTAAAAATGTCTTCAAAGGGGACATTATGACTTTTAAGTTATAATAATTCAAAATATTGATACAAAACATGTTTATGAAATTCTTTGCGCTAATTCCCTCTCACACAAAATGAGTTATTGACAGCCTTCAAAATGAGCTGTTTGAGGGTTCTGTCACTTTAAGACAACAAGCTAGAGCTGGCCACGCCCAACCATCAGGCTGTTATAAGCTGAGAAGCTGAAATATCTGAGAGGGGCTCTGTGTAGAGCTGCTGCTGCTGCTCCTCCAGTAGCTCTTGCTCCAGGTGAGAGAGGGTATATAGTATTTTCCCTCATTGTGGTGTCACAAACAGGGACCTTTTGAAATGGCTTGCTTTAGGCACAGATGTCCTAAAACCAAGGACCGACAGAAAACAAATGGATTCTTTTTTTCATGTTTGGAGTTTGTATAGAGGCAAATCAGACCCACATAGCAGCACAAACGGATTAAGTGTTACATTTTGGTGTAGTAGTACCTGCTAGTCATTTCATAACCAAGCCCCCACAATGCGGGTGAAAAATTGAGGCCAACGCGGAAGTGACAAAAATTGCAGTTCCACCCTCATCCGCTGGGGGCTGGTGTCAGAAGCGAGTAAATCCTCATTGACTCCCATGTTAAAAATACCAATTTCACAGCAGAAATAAACATGTTTACAGCTTGGTACCAAAACATGTTTTTGGTTTAAATTATCTAGTTTACACTCATGACAACTCTGAGGGGGGTGAATTTTTTCCCACTCTTCTATTTAAGTGTATTAAAAGCCTAAAATTCTGTATAATTAATGAGCATCAGACCCACGTGACCACAGAGCTAGCTCCGTGGAAAGGCCTCAGTAGAGCCTCGGTCTGGCTTGGAAACTTCCAGGGTTTTGAGTCTCTGTGTTTGTGTATTCTTTTTTGGATATTTTTTGTGCAATTGTTGGACAAAATAACTTGCTGTGGCATTAATTGCACTAATAGAGCGTCCAAGGAGTCTCCATTTTTTTCGGTAAGTAAAATGATATTTATGTATTTTAGGTCACTGCCGAGCTGAGCTTAGATTTCAACATGTACTGTTTAACCATGAAATTTAAATGTAATAGGGTAAAACCCAGTGCATTTAACATAATGCTGCACTTTAGAAAATGGGTTGAAATATAACATGTTGGTGGAGCTGGGTTCCGACTATCGGCTTGTGGAGCTCTCGGGAGACCGATGTTTTCCGCCTGTTTCTCCCCTCCCCGCAGCTTGGCGCATCTCTGTCTGATCGCGGCTCCTGACTGCTGCGCGGGCTGCTGGCTTGTGGAGCTCTGGGATGGAAACCTTTCCACCCGGTTCTCCCCAGCGGCAGCTCTGCGCATCTCAGATCGCAGCGGCGCTTGTCTGCTGTGCGGCTGCCGGCTTGTGGAGCTCTCGGAGACCTCTGTGTTCCACCCGGTTTTACCCAGCGGTCAGCCCGGTGTATCTCTGACTCAGAAGCTCTGGTGTTGTGCACAGTTAACTCCGGTTGTAGCTAGGTTGCTACCTCCGTTAGCTTAGCTCCCACCTCCGCGTTAGCTTTGGGTTAGCTTGTAGCTAGTTCGACCGGGTGTCATCAGTTGATCCCAGCCTTACAGCCCCACCCTCAGCTCCACCTCTCTTCCCTTTTGTGGAATTGTCTGGGCTTGATGGAACCTGTGACACGGTCAAAATTGCGGTGGTGGCCACCTCCCATTTATCTTCAAAAATGTGTTATTGGAGTCTATGGAAACCCATTGTCCAATATTTATATGTCGATGTTCATAACGCACAGGGCTAATAGATTGCTCAATATCTTGCTATTTCACAGGAAATCACAAAACATTTACCCCAAGAGTTAACCAAAACAACTATAGCTAAAATGACAGTGTTAAGCCTTGAACGAATACTAGTCCTCATCACCTCCATTCTTTTCACCAACCTTTCTCTGAGTTCCTGAAGCTCCTCCAGCATGTCCTCGTCCTCACTGTCAGAGTCATCGCTGCTCAGGTAGGGAGCATTTCGGTTGTATGTTGTCATCCACAGATGATGAAGGGCATTGCTGTACTGCGGACTGCCTGGCGCTCCATCCCACAGCCTCCCCTCTGTATCAGCAGCCGTCACAGAAAGCCCGCTGTCCGCAGACGTCCCCATTAAGCTGAGGCTGCACGTCCTCTTCCGACCTCTCTTCCTCACCTTTGATCGCTCCCCTAAGACCTCACCTTCTTCATCTTCATCTTCTCCTTCACATCTGTCCCGCTGCTGCTCCTGGCTCACAGCCCATCCTGTGTGCGTGTCCCCGTCCTGGAGGACTGCTGTCGACCCTCTCTGGGCATGAGGGTGAGGAGGGGACATGGTGAGGGAGGTTCCCAGACTGGTTTCAGACTCGCCCTGTTCCTCGGTGCTGCTCTCGGACTGGGAGCTGTTGTTGATGGCCGGCTGAGATGCAGCAGGTACCGGAGCTGCAGGTTCAAGGATGCCGATGCTGGGTGTCACCTGGAATCGTCCAACAGTCACCGGAGATGGCAGAATTTCTGTAGCTTTAAAAAAAGAGAAGAAAAAAGGTTAAATTTGAAACGTTGTGTATTGCTTGTATATGCCCTGGTTTTATGTATTGATGTAATTTAAACATTAACTGGTAATAGCTGTTTTATCAGATTTCTTAGAATATACCCATATACAGACATGGACAAGATTGATACCCTTCAGTCAATGAAAGAAAAACCCACAACTGTCACAGAAATAACTTGAATCTGACAAAAGTAATAAATAAAAATTCTATGAAATTTAACCAATAAAAATCAGATGAAGACTTTTAACCTAGCCTCTAAATAATTATTAAAAAAAATTAAAACTCATGGAACAGGCCTAGACAAAAATGATGGTACCCCTTACTTAATATTTAGTTGCACAACCTTTTGAGGCCATCACTGCAATCACACATTTCCTGTAACTCAATGAGACTTCTGCACCTTTCAGCAGGAATTTTGGCCCACTCCTCCTCCAGCAAACTGTTCCAGTGGTCTCAGGTTTGAAGGGTGCCTTTTCCAGATGGCATTGTCCTGTTGCAAGACCCATGAGCTGTGACTGAGACCAAGCTCTCTAACACTGGCCAGCACATTTCTCTCTAGAATCCCTTCATGGTCTTGAGGTTTAATTGTACCCTGCACAGATTCAAGACGCCCTGTGATGCAGCAAAGCAGCCCCGGAAAATAACAGAGCCTCCTCCATGTTTAGGGACAGTGTTCTTTTAGTGGTATGCTTCATTTTACTGTCTGTGAACACAAGAGTTGATGTACCTTATGCTTCACAAAGTTCAGTTCTTGTTTCATCTGTCCATAGGACATTCTCCCAGGTTTGTGGCTTGTCAACATGTAGTTTGGCATATTTCACGTCTGTTTTTTTATGATTTGTTTTCAACAACGGTGTCCTCTTGGTCGTCTCCCATGTAGTCCACTTCAGCTCAAACAACAATGGATGGTGCGATCTGACACTGATGTTCCTTGAGCTTGAACTTGACCTTGGATCTCTTTAGATGCTTTTCAGGGCTCTTTTGTTACCATTCAAATGATCAGTCTCTGATTTGTTATCATCCAGGGAGGTGTGCTACAGTTCCATGGATCTGAAATATCTGAATAATATGTACATCTGTAGTCACACGAACATCTAGGTGCTTGGAGATGGTCTTATAATTTCACCTTTAGCATGTGTGTCTATAGTTTTCTTTCTAATCTCCTGAGACAACTCTTTCCTTCGCTTCCTCTGGTCTATGTTGAGTGTGGTACACACCATGTCACCAAACAACACAGTGACTACCTGGAGCCCTACCCACTGACAAGACTGTAGACCCCTGTGATGCTTAATAGTGGACACACCTTGAATTAACATGTCACTTTGGTCACACTTTCCAGTCTTTTCTAGGGTTAATTTATATTTCATTACCCAGATGATGACAGCACTCACTGTGCCCTGGTAAAAAAAAAAATACATTGTGTTATGCTTAATGAATACTCAAAGTAAAGCACAGAAATATATGGTTGATATCATTATCAGTTATCAATTTTAGGCCAACCGTGACTGTGCATGAATTTTGTCATGCTGAAATGCTCTGGACTCATGAGCTCCAGAAAGCTTCCACATGGAGTCTGAACTCTGCATGAGGATTGTTACAGTTAAAGAATGTCGACGGGAAGTGAGATGTGGTTCAGCATTAAGGAGATTTAATGAAATTTTCATTCATTGATAAGTTGTACATTCTACTTTTGGGGAATCATCAATACATTTGACTAAGGAGGTACTTGTGGTAAGACAAAACGGCTCATGGGGTCCACGAGTCAAAAACGGTTGGGAACCACTGTTTTAAGACACTTTGTCACTGGCCCCTTTGTGACTAGCTGTTAGATCATCAGATTATAACTAATCTCTGTTTCTCTGAACTGAGTTTATTCAAAGCCCATCATTAACATTTCCACAGGAACCCACTTGAAGATGTATGAACAGAGTGGAGTAGAGCCGATTATGAGTTTCTAATAAAGATAAACATTGAACATTAAAGCTGCATGGGCAAATTTGATAAACAAATTAGTTTAAAACATTTTTCATGTCTCTTAACAATGTTCTAACCTAGTATAGCTATAAATATATTGTAGATATTTAAAAAATGAAAAAGTTAATGAAGTGGTTCTCTCGTATTTGTCTAAAAATGTCCGCCAATAACAGGTTTCTGACCAAAAGTAACTATTGGGCCATCTGGTTATAGGTCTCACTGTCCTTCTGCACTATGGGTCCTCCACTCATTACACACTCATGCATTTAGCAACAGAACACCACTGGTGTGAGAGGTTCTCTGCTCAATAATGTCAGAGGGAGAAACAGTCGGCTGCTACCACTTCAACTTTAGAGCAAACTACCAGAGTCCCAAAAGGAAATACATCATCTGAAGTTGCAGACAACAAAAGACGTTTGGACCTAAAAAACTGTGACTGCTATTTAGCGCTGTCTGGTTTCATCCAGTATCACAGGCTTCAGATTAATTTGGACCAAGCTTTTTTAAATTTGTTACAGTATTTGTGCACCTCAGGTAGAAAAATACAAAATACCAAGACATTTTTCTTCATCATTACTTTTCTTTAAGAATAAAAGTGACAGATCAAACTAGGTGGCACACGTCCCACCACCACCCTAAAATCAGTCGGTTTCATGGATGTTCCTGAACACTCATTCAGTTAGTGATGCATCAATAAAACTAAATACTGCTTTGTTTACTGTGACACAGTACAATTTCACCAAATGCGATACCTTTAGTTACTTGTTTGTCACGCTAACCCTAACTTAATCACTATTGTTAAATAATTTTCTGGCTCGATAAACTCTGATGGGCATCACTCATAAAGTATTGGTTAAACAGTGGTTGGTTCTTCCTTTTCTCCCATAAAATACGTAATGTTCTGTTGTAAAGTGTCCCACATCTGCAGAACATTAGTAGGTCAACATTAAAAGTTCTGCAGTGCCTCAGTTTGCCCACTGAGTGTCCTCTTTACAGTAAACACACAGTGTGTGTGTGCCGCCACTGAAACAGAGGAGCTCTGTTGGACGTGGGATTCTGAGGAGGGTATAAATACTGACAGGTGTGGAGATGGGAGGAGAGGCCTGTAACGAGCAGAACTGCTCCCTGATTGGCCGTCGACGGTGGGTCGGGCAGCACTCACACCTACGTTTGTGTTCATGTTGAATGGTACATTACGTTCAGACTCAGGGTTACACAACCGTTCCTGAGACTCAGTAAAATGTCCACAGTAAGACACAGAAGGGACAGACGAACATTTAAAACAGAGCGTTAAATACGTTGTGTGTTAAAGGGGAAACGAGTAACTGGTGTTGAAGAATGCATGTGTGTGTTGGTTTGTTTGGGCTGCAAACACAAAGATTGCAGTACAGGTCTGCCAACCCTGAGCACAAAGCATTCATCATTTAAAGTGTCAATGGTGAGGAGATCTATTTTAGGAACAGGAAGATATTCTTACCAGATTGTGTGGAGCAGGCTTTCAGATTTAGGGAGCTAGTATTTGTTTCAGGTCCAGCGGACTGATTACAGATGGATGAAACCTAAACACGAAAAATAAATGAAACACAAACACAACTAATGAAATTCAGACAAAGATCAAGTTATCAACAATCTCTTTATTTGTTCTCTGCAGTACAGGAGAAAAATCTAAAGGAAAAACAAAGCACTTCTACTGACTTGCTATTTGGTACCAGTGGATACTTGTGTTTTATAAGAAAAATGTGTCTCAGTCAGCAATAAAATAAAATAAAATAAATAACGAAAAATAACTTCATTTCCCAGAGCGCACACACAAATGTCTTCATAAAACGTAAAATGTCCAATTAAAGCAGAGTGATTATGAAGAACTCACAGTGTTCTTTGGTGTCACTGGAGGTGACGGAGAAAGTTCTGATGAAGACTTTGATTGAAAAACTTCTGATCTAGTTCTGACTGGAACTTGGGGTGAGGGCGGGGCCTCCTTGATGGGACTGGGGGAGCTGGTGTGTTGGACCTGCTGTGAAGGCTCCAGAACCACTTGTGGAGGAGTGGAAGGCATGGAAGGTAGAGAAACAGGATGATGCCATTGTGGATGATTGTTCTGGTAAAAACCGACTCCGTCCATTTGAGGTGGAGGCTCCTGGCTGTGGTAGATGTTTGGAGCTGGGATGCCAACTGAAGGATATGGGATCTCTACTGGTGGTGGAGTCTGGTAATGGTTAGAGTAGACAGAGGGGTAACCTGTCTGAGGAGTCAGGGGACTCTGCAGCTGGGGGTGGAAGCCTGGATATGAGGGCATCACCTGAGTGGGGAGGTTAGCGGGAGGGATGAAAGACTGAGCCATACTCATAGCCATGGAGATGACGTTAGCAAGAGAAAACAAAGGCTGTGTGTGGGCAGGCCACATGTTGGGATGCTGTGGGCCAGGAGGGGAGATGGTGGTGCTTTCATTAGTAGGACTTGGGGTCTCGTTCACTGGACTGGGGGAGCTAGGGGTCGGGGAAGGAACAGAAGGGAAGACGGGGTTACTGGCAACACGTGTGAGAGGTGGATGGTACCCTGCTGGCTTTGGGGAACCTGGAGAACCTGGAAATGGGAATGGGAAGTGAGTGTGACCCATGTAGGGTAAAGGATAATGCTGCGGATAGTGAAGGTGAGATGAAGGGCGCTGGTGTTGGTGATAATGGAGTGGAGAACCTGCAGAGGAACATAAAAGAGACATTTTGGTGATTCTGAAGTTTGTTTCTGTGTTTTAAGTTATAAATGACACTCCTACCTCTTACAGTTTGGCTTCAGTTTAGAAAAAGGGGTTTACATCTAACTGACTGACAAGCTAACGGCTAGTCTGAGTGCAGAAATAACTCGAGCGTAATGCTGCCACCTTAAAATATTTACATCATCATCATTTTAGCATCAAACGAAGATTTTTCTGCAGAAGAATTAAGACACTCCTGCTGGATTAGAACTGTGGTTGCACCAGCTGCAGGTGATTTTTATGATGTAAAGAACCACAAACTTACATATGATTCATAGTTTCTATTTTGAACTAGTTTATTTTAAATTACATGTTGCACTTCCTTGTATGAACTTATACTTTCCAACCACGTGACTCAATTTATAAAAGTATTTGTACTAGATACAGTTTACAAACAACATTCAGTGGTCTGTTTGAACATGAAATGAAAAAAAAAGAAACTATGTCTTTAAAGAACTATTACTGTCCTGGATTAAATCAGTTCTCATTTTGTAAATGTGTGTTTTGCATATTCTTTACAGCAGATTTATGTTTTTGAGAGTATTCTCTTTCAGTTCCTCTATATTCCATTATTTTCCAACTGAAATTGAAACGCTTCAGACCTTAAAAAAATCACTTTTCATTCGCAGTTTTCAAATATAGTACCCTTCTTCAACTGTAATCCTTTTCACCTTCAAAAGAACATATTTATTTTATTTAGGAGTAACTTTGTTTTATGATTACTTGTGCCGTTTTAAATGTAACCAGATCATCAAATTGGTTTATTTTCAAACACAGTTTCTATGAGTGATCTCCACATAAATCAACTGTGGGGAAGTAAAATAAGAACAAATTGCAGAAAAATGTAGGAGGCTGGAGCAGTTTTAAGACAGTGCCAATGCATGCCTTAGGCTAGCTGTTAGCTTATCAGTCAGTCCTAAGATATTAACTTATTACTTTTACACATGAATGCACTTGAAAATGGCTTCAGAATGGCTAAATTAACTCTTATCCAGGTCTTCTCATTTGTTTGGTGTATCTAAAGTGTATTTTTTTTTCTTGTGGAGACTGAGAGAAAAACTGGTCAAGTGAATGTTTGGAAAGTCTCTTCTATATCCCTGTATAGAGCACAAGACTTTCCTACATTTAAGTTTCCACGCTGAACAAAGATGTTTTGTTTAACGCAGCATCAGACTGTAATTGTGTTTGTAAGCCAGGACGTTTGCACACTGCACGGCTGTGAGGGATTTAGCATCAGTGGAGCAAGTGAAGCTTTCACATATCAGGAGTCTAAATGGAAGACACATGTGTGTACACAACTTTTTGGGTCTGATTAAAAAAGTCAAGATTCCTAAATCATTCCCCGAGGAAGGGTTTTGGATGTCTCAACAATGGCTCCACAGTTACAAACCACAGCTCCTCTTGTTGATGATGCAAACCAACTCCTCTTTTTTTTCCATGCTGAAGGAAACATGAGTTAAGCAACACTTTGTAAATGGTGGCGAGGGCCATAAAGCATTCCCAAAGCAGCCATGCAAGTGGCCATCCAACAGAGAAGAGACCGAGGACGGGGAGGGAAGGAGGATGTTGCGATGGAAGTGGAGGAAAACTGGGGGTGCCAAATGCAGAATAAGGGTTATTAATCTGACCTAAAACACTCCTGTTTCAGAGAGCGAGACTTCGAGGCAGGGAGAGAAAATTCTTGGAAATTCTGCAGGAGTTTGTGCTGGCAAACAGATGTTGCTGACTATCACAACACAGCAGAAACCTCACGCTGTACAGTGACAGCATTCACAGCTCCCAAAAAGCCAGAAAGCTCCCTTCAGGTGAGGTAATTACCCAAGAGGCCCTGCTGCAAGGCAGACACAGATGAAGGCTGTGTGGTGTGGTGATGGCGCCAAGCGAACGTCTGAACAATACTCAGAACAGGAGAAGGGGTGTGGGGGGGTGTAAACGGTGTACCTGAGCTGAGCTTCAGCCTATCCTGCGCCAAAGGATTGTAGTAATATTTCAGCGCATGAAACTGTAAAACGATGCTCGGCCTCTTTAGGGGAGGACCAGAGGGAGGGCTGTTTACCTGGGGCGTTGTGGAAAGACTGTGAGCGTAAAAGAGGTCGCCCAGGTGAAGTAATGTCTGAGCCGAAGACCTCTCCATTATGACATGGAGGAGAGCCACGTAGCCCTACGTTTGGGTTAGCCAGACTGTAGTCTAAGATAGGACACACACACACAGACATGCATGAGTAGATTTTATAACCACACACACACACACACACACACACACACACACACACACACACACACACACACACATGCATGAGTAGATTTTATAACCACACACACACACACACACACACACACACACACACACACACACACACACACACACACACACACACACACACACACACACACACACACACACACACACACACACACACACACACACACACACACACACACACACACACACACACACACACACACACACACACACACACACACACACACACACACAATGATCATGCACAGTCAAAACTAAATTATGAGAACTGTTAATAACACAAGACAGATGGTGTCTTAATGACTTTATGACGATGAAGAGCACACGGAGTAAAGTTTGGTTAATTTCCTGTTAATAAATGGATGAAGGTATCCAGACTAAGACTCACCAGGTAGAGAAGAGGATGAGTGTGTCCGAGGCATGGTGTGACTGTGTAGATCAGGCTGTAAGAGAGCACATTTTATTATTAATAATAATAATAATAATAATCAGGCTTCAGTTCTGTTTAGATTTGATGATGATGAATTATGCATAACCATCTTATATCTGATGCAGAATCGTTTCTCTGAGGCACACGCGGAGCAGATTTACATCACAGGTCCCTCCCTCGCTTGGAGAATTTATAAAGAATTCCTAATATTACTTTATCGTTTTATTATTAGATGTATAACCAAGCCTCTTCGGCTTATTTTTTTTAATATCTACAAAAACTAAAGACTCAGTTCCCTTTATGTCATTAAAACTAATTCAAACTCTTATTTTTGTAAATCAGGAATAGGGTTAGTTGATTAAAGTCTAACACTTTACCAGAAAGAGGTCAGAAAATGCTTTTAAACCACTGATAAGTTGAATTTGACCATTAGAATAAACAGACTTTAGACATTATTTTAGCAGTAATTAGTGTTTTGTTGCTTAAAAACACTATGGCTGTGTGTGTGAGTGAGGCAGCGGGACTTTCAGCCCCGCATCCTGAGAGCTCGGACTCTGGTCCCAAAAACACAACATGGGACAACTTCAAGAACTCCCCTTTCAACAAAGGGAAAGGGCAGTGACGTAACATTACACAGTCCCTGAAAACAACCTTAAATACAGGTAACGACTCCTGACGGCCCAAAACACGACCTTCACATTTAAACATTTTTGACATTATAGAAAGGACAAAGGACTTTAAAAATGCAGATTTCTAACTCAAATATTTGCCTTCTAGATCTTTTAACTAAAAAATTTTTTTGTTTAGTTAAAAGTTTTTTTTTTTACTTCATAATCAAGGTCACAACATGTTCTTAATCCAAAAGCTGTGCATCAGCTGATCAGTTTACCTCTAAGGTACAACCTCAAATGTCTCACTTTACCCTTTTTCTTACGAGGACAAACTGACGATACTCTGATATTTCCTAGGGCCACTGCCGGTTTTTGTTTTACTGTATTTTGAATGAAAAGGCCTTTAACTTCAGCATTTCCCCAGGATGCTTATCTGCCCCATCTGCAGCTATTACAAACATGCTAACCTGAAATATTTAGCAGGTAAAAACAAAGCAGGTTGTCTGTCCTTTCATTGGTAGATAGGAGAAACCTGACTCGACCAGACAAGAGTGGCTTTCCAGGGATTTAAGCTCTATTTATAGAGTTTAATAATAGAACCTCAAAACAGTGATCTACCTAAGAATGAACTCTGCTATACACCGACCTACTGCTCTCCAAGTTTAAAGGATTCTTTCTTAGGTAACCAACTTACTCTGTACGTTTCAACTCTCTCTTTGCAGTCAGGGAGCTGATCTATAAGGGGAGAGGGTTTTTTTTCCTGATAAACGTGTTAGGGTAAAGCCAAAGGGGATTTTTATATAAGTAATAAAGCAGTCAGGGGGTGAAAACCCAATAAATAAGGTACAAAGTTGGACCTGAAGATTTACAGCGCCTGTTTGCCTCATTATTCCTACTTTGACGGCGCTAGAGTATTTTGTTCCTGGAGCTCTGTAAGGAGGACTCCAGCAGAACGATAAGATATGAGGTCACTGTTTGGGATGGCAGTGGCTGTAAGAAGTCTTTTTTCCCTCTTCTCTAGGAAGATCTTTTTACACTTTCACAGAAGCCTGATTCATAAGGGACTAGTACATGTAAACTTAAATCATTTTACCTACTTGCTGTTGGCAGATGGGCTGGAAAATGTAGTTAGAGGGACTGGAAAGGACTGGTGCTAGTGGGAACGACTAAATGTGTAAAACAGAGACATTTGTCCACAAATCACATGTTTCTGTGTCACCAGTGCTGTCTGTGACATAAATAAAATACCTAACCTGGTGTGGTGGAGGGTTAGTTACACCAGGAACTGTGAGGAAAAGGCTCCACTGACGTTTCTTTATTACCAATGTAGGAAGCAGCCATAAAAAGCATTCCATTAACATAAGAATTGTAGGCGTGTTCTCGATAAACAACGGAGGAGACGCCACAGGTGACGTGAGAAATTTGGTGTATCGTTGTAAGCGATGATGTGAATTACTGAGTGGCTGCTGACCTGCGATGACGACAGCGAGTTAACCCCACCGTTGGACGCCAGCTGGGCCAGCCGGTGTGCACTGGGGTGGACTGGTGGATCTTTCGCCATCAGCGCCTCGGCCCGTTTAATGATGTCACCCATGCGGTGGATAAAACCCTCCTTTTCTGATGGAAGGATGAATTCATTGTGAACCTAAGACAGATATAAGAGTGTGTTTAGACACGTTTCTCTGGGACAATGAGCATTTACAAGTTGCACATCTTTTCAGGTCTGTCTGAGGTTTCAGCTAATGATCAGGACATTTCAAAATCTTCACTTTAACTTGAAGTTTATCCTGTAAAACTTTGTTCCTGTAAAGTAAAACATATCCAACACTCTTCATAAAGAATCCAGTTTTAAATAAAATAAAAACATTTCTTGCATTGAGAAACGTTATACTGGTGAAATCTTTATAAGCAATCACACAAAATTAAAAGATCTTGTGAAATCACTTTGTGATTATTGTATGAGTTATGCATGACTCCCAGAAGATGAACTGTAAGGTGAAATCACAGTGTGCAAGGTGTCCTTTTCAAAAGAAAATGAATTACTATGGAGATCACGCCGTTCATTTAAATCCGTTTTCATGATTTCAGTTTCTTTGCATTTAAAAAAAATTACCAAATCAAATATGGGAATATGCATTTTTCGCACTTTTCTTTCTCCAGACCTGGAAAACACTAAAAAACTAATTCCATGTTTTTCAACAATGTTTGATATCTGTGAATAGATGGGACATCATTCAAATATATCTCAGTCAAATGTGTAAGCCGGCATTTGTTTATCATGAATGATGTCTTTATTAAAAATAATTACCAAATAATATCTTTAAAGTGGAATGTATGTGTTTTTGATAAATATCTGTTTGTTTTTATAATTTTGTAGGTCATGTTTCTGTTTATTATTATTTATTTATATTATTTATTCTAATATAATATTATATTAGTGTTTTTTATTATTATTTAAGTTCTTGATTTACCGGTCGATCTACGTTCTTACCCTCATCTATGGTCATGAGCTTTGGGTAGTGATCGAAAGATCGAGATCACGGATACAAGCGGTCTAAATGAGTTTTCTCCACAGGGTGGCTGGGCTCTCCCTTAGAGATAGGGTGAGAAGCTCGGTCATCCAGGAGGGGCTAAGAGTAGACCCGCTTCTCCTCCACATTGAGAGGAGCCAGCTGAGGTGGCTCGGGCATCTAGTTAGGATGCCTCCTGGACGCCTCCCTGGTGAGGATTTCCAGGCACGTCCAACTGGAAGAAGACCTAAATGAAAATCCAGGACACGCTAGAGGGACTATGTCTCTCACCTGGCCAGGGAACACCTTGGAATCCCCCCCGAGGAGCTGGCGCAAGTAGCTGAGGAGAGGGAAGTCTGGATCTCTCGGCTTAGGCTGCTGCCCCCGCAACCAGACTCCGGATGAGCGCCCGAAAATTGATGGATTATTTATTGACATTATTTATTATTGTTTCTAATATAATGTAATATTTATTATATATTTTTTTCATTTTACAGACACTTTAATAAAAACTTAAATTTAACTCAACCTGCATGTTTCTGGTCTGTGTTTACTTTTGAACTGGTAGTACATAAACTAGCTGAATTACATTTTACTGCATCTCTTCTACAATCAAAATGAGGGATAAAAGCTCAACATTTACTGATAAATTATGTAAATAAAGGCAAAATAAACGGTTGATTTATTTATTCACTCTTCTTCATGTTACAAGTGAAAACGTCCACATTTGTAGTTTCTATACTAAATATCGCTCTCTTTTTAGCCACATCTATCTACGTTTTCCTGAGTAAAAAGAACATGCTTCATAAAAATCCAAGTGAAGCACTTGTATGGTAGAGGTCCAGTTATGTCTACTGATTGGGGTTTACAGTGAATGGTTCTCTACAGCAAGGCACTTTTCAGCTCATTTAAAGTCCAGTGCTGAGAACCACGGGGCTGTTGTGATGCCAGGTTTCCCCGCTGTGCCAGGACAGAGTAAACAAAAGCCCACTGTATTTTAGAGTCAGGGAAACAGCACGTTCAGTGAACAAAATGTACTGCTGCCGACAGCGTCTTACACCTTGTTATGTTCACATACAGACTCGTGAATGTACACAGCCTCCTCGGGTCCAGCCTCTAATAAAAGGCCTTAAGAAGTTAACAGGAGGGGAGAGGGGCGGTTACCTGCGTCACAGACTTCCCTGACCCTTCAGCAGAACATCAGCTTTATGATTATGACTGACGAGCAAAAAGCTGTTGATCAGGATGAACCTTACGTGCCTTTGGCTGAGAAACCTGGTGAACTGAACAGCTGACATGGAGAATCTGTTACTTTACTTTTAAACTGTGCAGAAGGTTTCAGGCATCCCTACAAGCAAAGTAAACAAGATTAAAATCAGAATTTTGATATTCATTTCCCAAAAGGTTTGCTATGAAATTGTATGCTAAATCGGTACATTTTCAAAAAAACATATGCCTAAATGTAATTACTTTAAAAAAATTGAGAACTGTAAATGAAATGTTTACTTCTTAGCATTTTAATCGAACATAAAATAAAATTTAAAAAGTTAGAGAGCTAAAACTTAAAACATTATAAAACAATCTAATTTATAACATTTATTTATCGCCCATTAAATAATCTGCAAAATGCAAACAATAGTTTTCTCCCTATGTTTTGGCTGTGTGTGTGTGTGTGTGTGTGTGTGTGTGTGTGTGTGTGTGTGTGTGTGTGTGTGTGTGTGTGTGTGTGTGTGTGTGTGTGTGTGTGTGTGTAAAATATCTAATGAGCTCCTGGTGAGATTATAATACAACTTTCAGGTGTTAGTTATGTGATGCAGGTCCACAGTCGGAGGTTTTCTAGATTTGAAGACTGCCACAAATGATCAAGGTGAGCAGCCGAATCTCTGCAGCTCAGTCCGTTTTAGAGAAACCGGACTAAAATCTGTAGCTGTGAGTTCAAAAGACAAGTTTGAAATGCTAACAAATCCCAGAGGAGCATTCAATTTTGAAAGATTGCATCATTTCAAATATATGATCAAAATAAATGTAATGCCATCATTGTCAAAAAATAAAAAATATAAATTACCTTACTTTAAGATTATGGCATGAAAGATGAATCAAAAATCAACTTACAAATCTGTTTAAAATCCCTTAAAGTCTCTATTTTCTCTGACTGATGGTCAGAAATGCTTTGATCTCTAATGCAGCAAAGTTAGTCAATACTAAAAGCAAGAGTCATTTTCTCATTAGGTCATACATTTGTCATTAGTGTCACTGTCATTTCTACCCAGTAAAAATCACACAGGTCCATTTTGTCTCAGAGAACAAAAACTGCTGAGCTTCATCAGCTTTTAACCTGAGCTTATCTCCAAGCTGGAGTCAAAACAAAGACGTCACCACAGATAGTGAAGAAAAGTGATTAAAAACAAACAAAAAGAAATCCTATAAACACAATTCATTTCTAGTCTTTAAAAGATACAAACCATTGATCTGGTCTGTGATGCAGGGCTAAAGGTGTCTCACCATGACAGCAGCGATGTCTTCTGGGTTATCTCCGTCTAGATCGAACTTGAACGTCACCATCTTGTCGTTGTGCGTCTGCAGCTGACACTCGACCACCCGGTCCACTTTATCAGAGAGCTACAGAGACAATCAATAGTAATGAAACACAGATTAACACAGGAGCAGGAGGGTATTTTTGTGCATGCGTGGGAATAAACACAAACACAAGTCTTCTGTAATATTTATAATTGTGATGCACTTTCTGAGCACATGTGGATCCATGTGACGCTCGTCTCAGTCTCAACCATTAGGAGACCGCAGTGTCCCGATCCCAAGAGAAATGCAGAGTGGTTGTCGGGTGGGTACAGAAAAACTACTGACAGTGTCTCACAGACAGGGAGTAGTCAAAGCACAAACTCATAAAACAAATGCCTCCAATAATGAATTCATTCAATCCAGGCTGATTTATTTGCTAATCGAGGGTGAGGGGGTGGAGCTGTAAACACAAGGCTTAGCATACCCCTGTGATGCGGAGCCTCGAGCGCGCCCTCCTTCTGAACAGCTTGGCGGTGTTTCGCCTGGCGGCTGATTTCTCACACTTCTCTGACAGGCCTTCGTACCCATCGCTCAATCCGGAAGTCACATCAGAGGCGTAGCTGCAAAAAAAAAAAAACACACATTTCATGTGAGTTCCTTACAACAGCAGTTTAAATAGCATCATCAACAGATAAGGCAGAGAATGCACTATGGCTGAGTAGCTGAGCAACACATTCATGACCAGAAAGAGCACAACCAAGTATCACAAGAGCTGAGGAAAATCTGTTTAAACTGAAGCGAATACATGCGATCAATAATTCACAGTCTATCAGAGACTGGTGTTAATTCAAGGGAAGCTGCTGGTTCAATGTTTAAGATATCAGAGAACTGGAGAGCATTTGGTGCAGCTTACAAAAACGCTTCGGCTCGACTAATTGGATCTCCTGGGTCTCTTTAGATCACTGCGGTTACAGACGCCATCCACCTCCCCAACTCAGGCTGCAAGCATTTACAGCCTACTGCTTGGAAGCGTCCACCTGTCTATTTAACCCCCGTCATGCACGCACACACCTCATGACAGAGCAGTTCAAAGTAAAGCCTGCTTTTCACCTACGAACACCAAGCATGTGGGAATTAAACCAAATAAGAACGAACTCATGTGGTGACGCAGCAAACTGCCGTCCTGTCAGTAATTGCTAAAACACAGTTCTGCTCTGCAGCTTTTTTCAAAGGAGGAACAGGGAGTCTGTTTTGGATCCTAAATAGTCCATGACCACCCTGTAATGAAAGAGGGCACGCAGACACTCCTGACATTTGTTTCAGTTTAAGATGAATGAGTCAGATATTGTCAGATCACTAGCAACAACAGAGAATCTGACTTTTATGTCTTTGTTTTAACCCTTTAAAGGTGACACATGGAATTAGGGGCCATTATGACTTTTTTTTTCCAACTGTTAATTTATTTTTGTACTAATTTTAACTTAAAAAATCTCCGAAGCTACTAAGTGTATATTAAAACTTTCAAAAAGTGTTCACTGAATGCATACCTGAATATTTTTTTGAGCCATCTGGTCATAGAAGGACACCATAGCATCATTATAAAACACAATAACAATGATAACAATAATATTATTTGATACTTTAAAGAAAGTTGTCTCAAAAACACCTGGAAACATAAGCAATCGATGCTCTAGGCATTCAGTTTATTTATATAGCGCCAAATCACAATAGGAGTCTCCTGAAGGCACTTCACAATCAACCAATCCGATTAACCCTCCCACTGTCCTAATGGGTGTGACCCCGTGAGGAAAGTTGACCATTGAGTAGGGTTGATGGTTTATCCCTTGGGTCCATGTGGCGGGGTGAGCAGTGAGCACCACCTCACCCCTGCCACATGGACCTCAGTAGGAGGGTTATACTGACTTATTAGTGCATGATGTTCAGTTCATTATTCCAATCAGTAAAAGGGTTCCTATATAAGGAACCCAGCAGATCACATCGAGTCACTGACTTGTTGTGTCAGAGTCTTTACAGCAATCCTCATACTAAGCAAGCATGCAGCGACAGTGGAGAGGAAAACTCCCTTTTAACAGGAAGAATCCTCCAGCAGAACCTGGCTCAGTGAGAAAAGCTATCCGCTACAACCGACCAGGGCCCCTGACTGTCAACAAGCCATTTCATTAATTACTAAACACAGATTTTAATAAAACTGTAATCATTAAAAATTTCTCTACAACCGATTAGCTCTTGGAGTCAACCTCATAAGGCCGTGGCTAAACGACCGTAGAAAACACATAACTGGCTCCAACCTGGTCAAGAAGCAACAAGAACCATTTTAAGTTAGTTTTCTACACTACTTCATGCTAGTAATAAAATCTCCATGTATAACTTTAAAGTTCTTCAGAGCTGCAGTAGAACCGAACTTTTGTAAATGACTTTAAAACCAGAATCAGTTTATTTCTGTTTCTAGATTTAAACAAAGTGCCTATATCTCTGTTTATCAACATTAAACAAAAGGGTCACAAACAATGAATTAAACATTTGTCTAGAGATGTTCTGATACAACTTTTTCACTTCCGATACAATACAGATATTGCAGCCCTCAGTATTGACCGATGCCGATATCTATCCAATATGATATCAGCACATATCATACATACCTTTTACCTATTTCATAGTGAGGAATGTGTGAAAGGCTTGATCAAGTGATATTACTCAACTGGAAAACCAAAGCCAACAACAGTAAGTATGAAAAAAAAGACTATTTTTTCTTAAACATTGGTTGCAAAAATGTGAAATCAGAGATTTTAGATGTCATCCGATATAATCCGACACACTGTTTTTGGGCCAATATCGAATTACTTCCGATAGCAATATCGGAACAGGGCATCCCTAATTTCGTCAGATGTAATCAGGATGTCTCCGTGAGCTTATTTTCCTCGGTTTCCCCAGTTTTTCTCAGTCGTGTTCTTTTCCTTCTACTTATTAAATGTTCTTCTCTCTCTTCTGTCAGAGGAATGTCTTTGTGTTTTAGCTGTTAGGCCACTTAACTCTGACATATGACTCACGACAAGCATCAAAAGGCTCTGACCTCATCACCGTGTCATGTTTTTGTTCAAAGCTGCACTTGTTTCCTGTTTGACGGGTGATGAATAAAGAAATTAGGAGTGTCTCAAGTATTGTTAAACAGTTCTGTGCGTTCCTAATGCTTCCAGTTTCATACTGCTGAACAACATTATTTTTGAAGTTTTTACAATGGGCTGCAGAGTGGCACAGTTTCCTCAGAGCAGGGAGGTTGCAGGTTTGAATCCTGTTGCAGCCTTTCTGCATGGAGTAAGCATGTTCTCCCCATGCATGCATGGGTTTTCTCCAGGTACTCTGGTTTCCTCACACACACTAAAAACATGTTTTTTACTTTAACTGGTGACTCTAAATAGTCTCTAGGTGCGAGTGTATTTACGGTGGTCTTATTTTTCTGTACAAATAGAAATGTGATGGACTTGGGTTAGACCATGATGACCAGTCCAGGGTGTCCCCCGTCTCTCTCCCAGTTGGACAAAGACACCAACTTCCTGCAACTTCACTCAGGAAAAAGTGGGTTCAGAACATGAGTGAGTGAGCTAGCTCTGTTTGTCAATGAAATCCAGAAAAGTAGTGTCAACCCAATTTTTTTATTTTTATTTTAACCAATTATAATACTAGACTACACTTGTAAATTCGCCTCAGGATTTTTATCTTGAGAGGCGGTATGTAATAGATAGTCTTCTAAATAAAACAATTAACCTTCGATAAATCAGTTATTTATATAATAATAAGATTAATAAGAATCTTTGTCTGAGCATGTACAAAAATGAAAGTTGTTTAACACAATGACTCCCTGAACACACACACACACGCGCACACACACAGACACACAGACACAGACAGACACACACACACACACACACACACACACACACACACACACACACACACACACACACACACACACACACACACACACACACACACACACACACACACAATTTCCTTGTCCACTGTCAGCTCTCATGCTGAGAGTAAAGCCTCTCTCACTGACGTCCCACCAACATCTGAGACGCAGTTGAACAGAAAGCTGCAAGGGTCCATTCTGCCTCGCTGCAATAAAAACACAGTGGAGCCCGTAGGTTGCCCTGAGCTTGTTGTTTCAGCCCCACAGATGTGGAGGAGGAGGAGTTACGCGGCGAGGACATTTCCTCAAGAGTCACATCCATTTTCAGGTCTCTGACTTATAGAGCAGAATTATGGGCTCCATTTTTCACGTTTAGAAAAGAAAAGGAATAAGAGTATAGGGTAGAGGGTTGAGTGAGCTCACCTGTCCACAGGTGAGTTGAATCCACTCTGAGGCCCAGAGTTTCCATGTTCTGTGTTACTCAGTATCGCAATACTCTTCAATAAGAAAATAAAGAGAAAAAAATCTGGTAAATAATAAAGAAAAGTTTAACACACAAATAGGCTGTGTGTTTACCACTGGAAAATATTACAATGAAACAAATACTGATTTTAACATATCAGGATTTGAAACACCTACATTCTAACAGGCAAAACTGCTAAATATTTAAATGCAAATTCTCCTCTTTACTGATAAAAAAACATTTAACAAGTATCATTAACTCCCTAACTTTGAGTTATAGTTGAGTTACTTTCTTAAAACAGGATGTTGACATAGACCTGGGTCAGCGTTGGGTGGAACAGATACTGACGTTGACAAAAACAAAGAGGTGAAGACCTCTGTTCTTCCATTCATTCTGCATTTTGCACTGATAAATCTACTGAAGCAGCTCACCGAGGGGAAGCGGAGGGCGGGGATGGGGAGGCCGTTGGTCAGAGGGGTTGGAGGGGTTGCAGGCGTGTTGAAGCTGCCGGCCTCCAGCGGATCCTGAAGACCGGAGGAACTGTGGTCGCCATCCGTCTCACAGTCAGCTGTTTCAATAAGCACACAAAGTATCAGCCAGTGACCAGCTGTGACCTGAAAAAAGTGACATAAAAACTCACGCTCACATACAGTACACACATACGACCGGTGCATGCATCTAATGACTTCAAACTGAGCTAGCCACGCGTACCATCAAACTGAATGTATTTCAGACAGATATGGGGCAAAAGTGAGAAACATTCTGTAACTACAGCAGAATCATTACGGACACCATGAGATGAGATCTACAGGGGCTGAATAATTCATTTATCCACAGTGTCACATTTCTGTGTCACTCTGATGTCATCTGAGATCAGAACTGCTCGGTTGTACTACTAAAACAGTGAAAACATTTCTGCAGTGTCGAGGTAGGATATGTATTTAAACACTGGGCAGATATGCAAGATTGCAGCTGTAACAAACATAAAGAGTTAAAAGGCCAGTATTTCATTCATCTGCAAGTATTCATGACGTTTACAAGGGACTTTCCAAATGATCTCAAAATATTTGCAAGAGCCCTCAGAACAGTTTAGGTTTTTTAAGAACAGGTTGGACAACAGCATGTTTAAATGGTGCTGGGGCTAGTCCTGAGGCCAGAGAATAATTCATACATTTTAATTATTTGGGGCCAAGTCTTTCAAGCACAGCCTTCAGAGGTTTTGTAGGAGTAATACCAAGGGCACACGTTGATGATTTCAAATACTAATGGGCCATTCCCATCTGTACCGGGTCGGCCCGGGCCGGGTAGCCCCAGCCGGCCCCAGCCTGGCCCGGTTGATTCCACACATCCTTGTCTTATGCCCATGTGGGCTGATTCTACCCACCAATCAGAGGCTTGCTCTAATGGAAGGTGTGAATTTGCTGTCAGCAGTGGGTGTGTTGGCCCTGGTCGGCCTGAAGCAGACCCCCTTGAGAAGAGGGCTGAGAATGAGCCTTGGTTGGCCCGGAAAAATACCAGGCCACCCATATATTACTTCTGTTAGGAATTTGAAGGGAAAATGGTGAGTTGTTGTCTCTACAAGGTTTGTTTTTCCACTAAGATTAGTCTGTTGGATAACTTGTTGGAGCCAAAAAATACAAAACATATAAAAATGTCTCATTGGAATCAAACTGAATTGACACAAGGCATACTTCCAAAGAAAATAAATGCTAAATTCGCGCACATTTTATGTCACAATATTGTCATAATGTGTCTCAATTCTATTTCAAATTGCAATTTAGTTGCAAACTTCTTTCAAAAATGTCTCATTTCTAGCACTTTCTAAGTTGTGGTTACTAAATGGAGGAGTTCAAGATGAGTTTGAGACAATCGCAAAGTCATGCATCTATTTTAAGATAATTTCTTACCGTGTTAGACCACGTTCAAAATTCAAGCTACAGCAAGGCAGAATTCTCAAAAAACGTTTGATACATTGAAGAGCATAAAACGTGTTGCAAAAGAAAAGAAATAATCAAAAACAAACTGGACATTTTGTGCATCTAACTAGTTGTAGCACATTGAGATAGTGGGCGTTAACGTATTAATGTGGGGTTTAGTACGGCTGTAGTAATTCGGATAGATTATTTGAGAAAATTAACTTGTAGCAGCTGCAGTATTTAGAAGCAAAATGCGACCAAGATATCTGTGTTTGGGCCTTGTTTGCAGACAAACACGTTCATGGTGTGAGGCGTAACGTTACGAGGCTTACAGTTAGCGGAAGACAGGCTGTTGTAGCGGACATGGAAGTGCTGATCCACCTCAGGCTCTTCTGGCTCTGCAGGGTAGTTGGAGCTGACGCCAGAGTCTGCAGAGCTGGTGATGGGGGATGAAATTGTGGCCAGAGGTGTCAGCAGAGTAGGAGTGGGGGACCCGGCTGCAACCACATCACTAACTTTAGGTGAAAGCATCTGGGGTTCTGGCTCTTCTTCTATTGCCTCCTGAGCCAACTTTTTCTTCCTCTCCTCTGCCTGCCGCTTCAGCTTCTCCCTCTGCCTCTTGATGGTCGTCACTCGGTCTCGTATGGCCTTTGCTACAATCTTTAAGTCTGCTTCACACACAAACCCAAGCACGACCTGCAAGACAACACACACAGATGGTCTGGGCACGTTAAACAAGTGTGTGTGTGTGTGTGTGTGTGTGTGTGTGTGTGCCTGCATAAATGCCTATAATCTGCTGATGCAATGTGGAGAAGACTCATACAGGTTTGTTGACAAAATCAGGCGAGCTGTGACATTTGGGTTAACAACATTTGTTTTGCAACAACAAACAGAATACATCCTTCTGTTCTTTTAGATTCCTGAGTTAACCACTCTAGCAGAGCAGCACATTCAGTCCCAATCAGCCTCTCAACACAGGGTCAGATTACTGCGGTTCGGTCCAACTAGATGTCCCCTGCAGATACCAAATTTGATCTTGATGAAATCTCCTACAGAGGCGTAAACAATTAAAGAATTGTGGTTTGTCTTTTCATTAAAAGTGACCTTTACAAGGAGAAAACTGGATTTTGAAGACATGAGGGCTCGTTGCCCCAACAGGAATGAGAGCCGTTATATTATTAAAGACATGAACTCAGCTGCTTCCTGAGATGCCCTCTCACATTTCCAGCCAGTGATGATTAAATGTTGAGCCCATGACCTTGACACAGTGTGCTGCCTTTACGGGCTGCGGCACATTTATGTATCTCTGATGTCAGAATCTGAAGCATAATGAAGCAGAAAAATTTGTAGGGTCACTCTTTGGGTCAAACGTGAAAGGAACAGTTATTCTAGCTTTACATCTATGGGACTATTTCAAATAGATGCCATCTCTAAAGCCATTTCTTTAGTCATTTAGTAAAAAACAAAAACATATGTAGACTAAATCAGGTAGAAACCCATAAAAAAGCTATCATCATCAATCAAGACTTGGGTGGACTGAAGCTGCCTCTGCTGTATCTCTTCTGATCTGGCATCAATTACTCAATTTCCTTTCTAATGGTTGCCACAAACTGGGTCAGGAAAGCTGTAAATGTTGTCATCAGTGCGCCGGCCTACCATCTCCTGAGCCACCTCCTCAGGCACATCTTTGTAGAGCTCAAAGAGGAACTCGATGGCATTGTTGTCCTTGTACTTCCCATGGAGCTTCTTGGTGTCATCCATGCGAAGCCACAGCTTCAGGTCGGGCTTCACCATGTTATCCTCCTCTGCCAGCTCAACGTGCACTCCATTGTTCTCCTGGAAGAAGGGGTGATCCAAAAGGTCCTGAATTGTGTACCTGCGGTGGAAGAATAAAAGAAACATGTCATTTCTTTATGTTAAACCTTAGATAGCCTGAGTTTACAGCAATGGTGTCCAGTCCCGCTTATTGAAGGCCACTATAATGAATGTTTTAATTGTTTCTCTGCTCCAACACCAGATTCATTAGCTGAATTACCCATTAGCACATCCTCAACTTCCACAGAAGCCTGTAAATCATCCAATGGTTCAAATGAGATGTGCTGGAGCAGAGGAACACTTAAAACCTGCAGTGCCGGTTCTAGGGCTGAGGTCACAGGGGCATTGCCCCCAGCTGAAATCTGATTGGCCCCCTGAAGTGCCCCTGTCCTGTCACTCATCTGTTCTTTGAGCAATGATTCAATTATAAGGTGGATGCAAATCCAAGTCCAAACATTTTTGGCCTTAATGAGCTAAATAGTAATTTCCAGCATGAAGTCCCATGCTACGATGTTGGACTAATACTTGGCAAACTCTATGAATATTGTGGCCTCTTGGTGGCCCATACTCAGAAAAACCCTAGATCTGCCACTGAGGATACTGGTCCTCCAGGACCAGGACTGGACACCACTAATGACTCCGACTGTGTTAGTGTTTGTTTTACCTTTCATCTTTGTTCATACGAATGCAGCCCTCAATGATCTCTTTGAGTTCTGGGACTTTTACCTTGTAGAAACTGTCAGGTTTAATCCCCTGTGGAGAGGCAGGAAACAACAACCTTCATTTAACTGTATTTTTAAATAATACTGAAGGATTTCTTTAACCTTAAAATTTTCTCCTTTACAAACTTTGCCTATTAAAAAAATCTAAAACAAATAAAAAACAGCTGCTCTGACTTTCCTACATTTAGCTAAATCTTCTGATTCATGCCTCCACAAATCGACCTGAGAAATAAGTCAAAGCTCCTTTTGCCTTACTTTTACTAATCCGTTAAGAAATATTAACACCTTGCAATAGCAGCTTATACAGAAATTACCCCAAGAAATAGAATAATAATGACTTGTGTCAAAGCAGAGCCATGTGCATGTTATAAGCAGACTACAGATAGTTTAAAGTAGTGTCAAAATCTGTGTAAAAACAATAGGACAGGAAAAAGCTGAGGTCAAAAAGACGCATAGATACAGAAATATCCGGGCCGACATTAAAAAAATAAAACACAATTTTTTACCAGTATAATGTAATGTGTTCTACATCTTGTTATCACATCTAAACACTGGCATGTCACACAGTAACAGCTGCTTTTTGTCACCACAAATAGTTTGTTTAGATACAACTGATCTCCTGTTAAAAGGTGACACAAAACAGATCTCAGAAAACGCACAGACAGGAAAAGCTTTTCCTTTTTTGCCACATGAGCTTCAAATGGACTTTTTACTTCAGGGAACTGACACTGATTTGTCACACTATCATCCATCAGCCTAATGAAGTTATTATCTATATTCTATTACCACTTTAAAGAGTGCAAACACAAACTGACGAGTCCCAAAAATACTTGATTGCATTTAAATTTGTAAAAGGCACCCTTCTGCAGTGCAACAGTGATTTATGAAAAAAAATCCTCTGAATAAATAAGTTCTCTGTTGATCCAAATCTAATTGTGACCCTGCCTGTCCTGACAAAGGTCCAGACAAGAGATAAAGAAAAATGTTTGTGTGATGCATGCTGCTGAGCTGTTTTCATCTGGACATACAGATGATTACATTCTTAAATAAAAGGTGAAATTCCGAGACTTTAACATGTCAGCATATTTTTCAAGTTTTAAGCACATTAAAGCTGGGTTACATCGTTTACAATTTTTTTAAAGTAACTAAAAAAAATGCTTAAATGGGTCTATCTGACCCTGTTCTGTGATATAGCATAGGTAAGTCCCTCATCCTAGCCTGTAGGCCTACAGCAAAACTAATCATTTATTCAAGAGAGTTGACCAAATTACACAAGAGGAAGCTTTCAATCAAGAGGAATGCTCCCCAGCTAAGTCAGCTTAGCATATCAACCTAGCTTGAATGCTACCTCGACCTGCATTGAATTTATGTCAGTCTGTTAACTTTCATGCTAACTGTTGAAGAGGAGGGAGGGGAACAAAAAGAGATTTATCTTTTGTTTTGGAGCTAGGTGATTAGTTTAGTGTTCAACCTTACGCTACATCAGACTATCTTTTAGCCTGTTGTAGCGTTAGCAGTCTGCTAACATCATGAGTGCCAGATCACTGGTTTTAGACGTTTCCCTGCTTGAACTCTGCAGATGTAATTAAAATGAGTGATTAGCATCTCCTGCAGAACCCGATGAAGGCTGAGGAGATAATTCAGCTGGTAGAACCAGGTGTGTCTGAGCAGGAACATATCAAAAACATTACCCATTTGTTAGCGCTACAAGACTATTTGTGTGCCAGTATGAGGCATGGTTTTCAGCTCCTTCCAGAAGGGGAGAGGGAGCAGGAGCTATCGGGAGCCTAATTCTCCTCCCCTTTCGTTCGGCGCATGGATCCCCAGAACAAAGAATAAATGAATGGAAGTGAATAGAGCTATGCTCTAATCCACTTTGCCTTATACCCTGAATCAAACATATGGTGTACTTGAATTTAAATGGAAAGAAATTATGTGTGTTTCGACCATGTCTGTCATGTAATTGGAGATTTATCAGCTTGTAAAAATTCATAACTTAAAAGACTACAAACTAGACTTTCCATAAATGACAACCCAATAGAATCACTGCTCCCCAGCGTATAGCTGCTACTTACGGCCAGATTTATGGACACCACCAGGGTGTGAATGTGTGTGTGAATAGGTGAATGACCGATTATGTTGTAAATCACCTTGGGGGTTTCAAGGACAGGCCATTTACCATTTTATGGTGGTTTTCTCCATGTTTTACGCTTCTTTTTACGTCCTGGAAGAAGAATTTGAAGCTCGCTAAACTAAACCTCCTTTTCTTTGTGTCTGGTTTGATGACGTCAATTTGTTGAGATGAACATTTGCAGTCCTACAAGTCTTTTCACACAAAACCTAAAATAACTTTTGCTGCCATTTGAAAATAAGCACTTCTTGCTATTAAAATCTACTTCATTATATGTGAAATTTATGTCACATATCACAAAAAATAGCTCTTATTCTCTCCTAGACTCCCATTCATTTTTTGGGGCAGTTGGGGACCAATGATCTAGAAGTAGATGATTTAATCTCCCTATGGCTGTTCAAATTTCAAAATGTTCTCCTCTCATTGATGACATCAGGCTAGGGACCACAGCTTTAAACCTATGCAGGGAGAATATTGTTCACAGTAAGAAACATTAAAATCCTTATAAAGGATTTTTTTTCTGTGAATAATTAATACCATCATCTTTGAAATAATTCATAATTCACTCTTATCTTTTAACATGACCCCTCTAATCTTTGGTGCCACTTTTAATCTGTTTAATGGAAACTTTCTGCACTCAATTTGATTTTAATGTAATACAACATAATTATATTTGTTCAATTTTTTACCCTTTTGCCACAAAGCCTCCATGCAGAAATGGTTTCCAACTGTACTGTGGAAGGGTTAGGGTTAGTGAGAAGAGATGACCTCTGAAACATGAAAACTCTTTGGAATAAACTCCCACTGTAAGCCAGAGCTTATCATGCAGCATCAGTGTTGGACCTTACTGGTACTCTTGTGTAAACAGGAGATAAACCCTTCCAGATTCCAGCATCTGGAGTGAAACCACCTCAGAGGAGCAGAGGATGTTGTAGCAGCAAACTACTGACTCGGAAACACATTTTTATCTGACATGTCCACATATCTCGTCACGTAGTCTGTAAAAATGTATTTTCCTGTGGTAAACTGGTCTCCTAGCACTTTCTGCCAAAGTCAATCCTTATTTCTCTCCCAGTGATTCAGCACCATACCTCAAACGTTTAGGCTTTCCTTTCATGTTCCATCAAATGTATTTAGTCTGGTCAGGTTGTTTTCTGTAATATTCCTGACTTACAAATAAATGCAAATAAACAATTTGCAATGAACACACATCTGTGTTCCAGCCCGTTGGCAACAAAATTCATTTATGAACATTTTATGAAAAAGTTCAAGCATAGTCTGTAAGCTAAATCTTGTTTCATTTTTGACAAGTTAATGGTTCAATTAGAGTCCAGGTTAGTGAGATAGAAGCTCTACAGTTTGTGGGTTAATGCCGGTGCCATAAACAAAACACATCATCTGTGTTTCATAGAAACAGAACATGACTCTTGAGAAACACTTGGACTTTTTTTGGTCTTGTTGTATGCTTTAGATTTTAACGTTTGTGGAGGAGCCACTTTAACTTATTGGGATCGTCGCCGTCTCACTTTCCAGCCTCCATCGCACACTGTTTACTTTCTGCATGTGGCACAAGGGAAAGAGACAGCCTCCTCTGTAAAGTCAAGAGTGAGACACTATTTCCAAAACATGTAATTCTGCCATCGCCTACTTTGGCACCTCTGTGCTAAATACACAGAGCAGCAGCCAAACAGTCTACCTGAGCAAGAGTTTCTATATACAACTTTTTAAGACGCTTCTCATCTTCTCTTCAGGCTCAATTCAGTGCACGTCCACGATGATTTTTGTGACTCGTTAAAACAAAAAAAAGCAACAAACATCAGGGTCAAAAGGTCATTTGAGTTTTCCGTTCAAACAATATGATGACGCTGTGGCTATTTAATTAAAAATAACAAGTAGAACTGGTTAGACAAGATCAAATAATACCAAGTGAAACTGCCTTGTTGTGACTTTTGGCTGTAAAAACAATAAAAGTATTGGTAACATTCAGCACTGAGCTCATATTTGGACAAAGCTGGAACATTTGATAAATCCAAATTCTCTATGGTTAAAAAGCCCAGGAGGATAACTTTACTTTAGTCTACTTCCAGTAAATGTGTAGAAAAAAAGGCAACACGGGTGGACAATTACAATAACACATGGGAGGGTAATGAGGTGGCTCTCCTCCTCAGCCTGTACTCACGCTGGTGACTTTGCGGTAGATCTGGGCGGCATTTTGGCACTCGTAGTATGGGTACTCAGAGGTGGCCATCTCCAGGATACACATACCTAAGGCGTAGACGTCTACCGCTTCATCATACTTCTCCTCGTACATCTCCGGGGCCATGAACTCTGGTGTTCCTGTCAGGAAAGAGTCAAGAGTGTCTCAGTCTGAAGTACTAATCACATACGCAACAACCATCAGAAATCATGAAATCTAACTTTAATTTAAAAAACTGAAATTTGTTGAGCTAGTAGCAGTATCAAAAGATGCAACAAGTAATGAAATACATATAGTTTAATAAACCTTATGAATGTATTATTGCCACTTGATGGCATCAGAATAAGCTGTGAAACTAAGACTCATCATTACGGTGAGGTAATAAATATTCTGCTGCTGAAGTATAATTGCTAATCTTCCTACAATATTGCCGTTTTTTTTTAGCAATGTGCAATTTATAGGAATACAAAAGCATCTGCACTTGAAAATTACACCAAGTTGTCCAAAAATGACTTTTTGAAAGACAAAATATTTAATGTGTTAAAAGACTGTTAATAACACACACATGGCAGGTGGCACTAGATGATCATGACAACAATTTTCCAGTAACATTATCTGAGCCAAAAACTTTTGGTCAGCAATTTTTACATTACCTTAAACGTTAAAACAATTCAACAGGCTCCTACTTCAAACCCCACATAATATTTATGGCCATGTGAAAAGATTGTTGTGTAACTGGATGTAGTCTTCAAATTAAAGCAGAAGTATGACAAGGCAATAGCTGAATTATCTAAACCAAACCACAGAGTTGTGTTTAATGCATTTAGGACAATGGGGATAAAGGGAAATGTGAAAGTTTCCTGTGAACAAAAAACATAAATAAATGAGAAATTTGAACTGATGATCACTGACCAAAGCATTTAAAGGTGTGATTCACTTGTTTAATCAATACATTTGCAGTGGTCTCTAACAGGAATGAATGCCTTGTAAGTCGTACTCAGTGGGCAAAACGAGTGCACCTGTTTCAGGATCTAGAAGATAGTCACATCAGAGCTAAATTTTAGATGGCAGGTTTTGGAGTCTTGTTTCCTGATATTTGGAGATCTCTCCTCTGATTGGATAACAGAAACGTGACTCTACCACTGACTGTTGCTATGCAACGTTGATGTATTATTTCCACAAATAACACAAGCATGGAGAAGGTCCTGCTGTGTGGCGGAGTTGCTAATGCTAACAGTTAGTTTCTACTAGCCAAGATGTTCTCTGCTGTTTCCTGAATGCTAAACCATCAACAGCCTTCCCCGTCATGAGCCAAGATGGGTGAGTCCATGAATGTTAAATGACGGGGTGATGTAGATCTGTCAGGATTTTCAAATCCTAGAGTTTCAACATCTATTTTCTATCAGAAGCTAATGTGGAGATAGATGTAGGAGACCATTTTCATGTTTTGACAAACTCAGTGACCAGTTATAATAAAAAATAATCATTAAAAATTAGTGATGCACCGATATGAAATTGTTGGGCCGATACCGATATCTGATATTAAGATCACTGTTATGGCCGATAACAGATATTTGCCGATACTGACATAATGACATTAATGCTTCTAAAATCTGCAGATTTTGTATAGAATGAAAATTATTAAAGCTGGATTTACGTTATTATGTTCACACAACACACATTTATGGTTCTGAGGTGATTTCATTCACTGTTCACATGACTAAACAATTACACATCACCCCCCTCACCCTCTGAAACAGGCAAACAAATGGAGACACGATGGAAAAAAATATTGGTTGTTAATATCAGCCCGGTTTGATTTATCGAACCGATATCGATATGTAAAAAAATGACCAACATCGGCCGACACCGATATTGATGCTGATATATTGTCCATCCCTATTAAAAACACTTTTTCAGTCTTCCACACTTTTAAAAGAATGCTCCTATACATCTATTATGTGTGTTTTTTCTACTTGGACAACAACGGGTTTCATTTTAACCTGTTTGATTACATTTAAACACCGCTCAGTGACTGAATCAAAAAGCCATTATACAGCATTTCATGTCTGGCACTGTATAAATGCACTTGATGGTTAAGGCAATTTACAGCCAAATTAAAGGCCATTTGAGTAAATAAGTTGCTCTTTAAAAAGCTGGAACAACATTCAGCAGAGATGGTGTAGCTGAGTAAATAAGAAGGAATACTGTTCCATGTAATTTTCATGTTTGTGTTCTTTTAAAAGATAATTATAAACTGTTACATTTACGTCAAACTTTTAGTTTAGATGCCATTTCAGTAAGATGTGACTTACCAATTACACTTTTAGCAAATGAGGCACTTTTGAGAGTGGCCAGCCCCAGATCTCCTATCTTGACAGAACCAGTGGGGCCAGTGATGAAGATGTTGTCACACTTAAGGTCCCGGTGAATGATGGGAGGGGTGCGTGTGTGCAGGAAGTGAAGTCCTTTAAGGATCTGGCGACTCCAGCGTTGCAGCAGCTTCAGCTTCATCTCCTTGAACCTCTTTAGATACCTTAACAAATTAAATAAAAACCAGGATTCAAATAATTGGTCAAAAAACATCACAATATATCAAGAAAAGGAAGTGTCACAAAATAAGGTGTCCCCTTTTTTCACAGCCAAGAAAAGGTTTTAAAGATGTGGTTCCCTATTTTAATCAATACATCTGCAGAAACCTCTAGCAGGAAGGAATGCCTTGTAAGTTGCAGTCTGGGGAAAAAAAAAAGCTCTGGTGCACAATTTTCAGGAACTAGAAGTGAGCCACATCAGATTTGGGCTTCAGACGACAGGATTTGGAGTCATGCTTCCTGATATTTGAACATCTCACCTCGAATTGGAAACAGCAACGAGTCTCTGCAACTGACTTTGTTTGTTCTGTGATGTTTTATCTCCACAAATAACACAAGCCTGGAGGAGTTCTGCTTTGTGGTGGAGTTGCTAATGCTAACAGTTAGCTTCTACTAGCCAAGGCGTTCTCAGCTGTTTCCTAGACGCTAAACCAAGTGACAGTGTGACGTAGATCTGTCAGGATTTTCTAATCTTAGAGTTTCACTGTCTATTTTCTATCAGAAGCTATTGCAGCAGACAGATGTAGGAGATTAGTTTCAATTTCAGCCTGCGTGAAACTATTAGGAATGAAAAAAAAATTTAAATAATAAAAAATGATTGTTCAGCGAATCACACCTTTAATGCTTGAGAGTTTATTTAACAGAAATTTTAAAGTAGAAATAATCTCTGTGTTCCACTTTTAAAGTAGAAACAAGCCGTCAAGCGTGACACAAATATACCGCTTGGTATGCAAAACAAACGTCACTTAGAAAGAGAATATCTGCCATGTGAGACGTTGGAATGCTAAAGAACAGGATGCAGAATCTCACGTCTTGAGCGTGCCAGAAGTCATGAGCTCAGTTACGAGGATGATGCACTTGTGGCCCTTCATGGTCGACTTCCAGGAGTCGTGGAAGCGCACAATGTTTGGGTGCTGCAGGCCTTTCAGCATCTCCACTTCCTCGCTGAAACGCTGCCGCTCTGCCTTGGTCAGTTTACGTGTCTGCAGAACAACAACAAATAAATCAACAAGGTTAAAGGTGTCAGCATCTACTGTAATTATTCATGTTTTTACCCTGAAACTGGTTTAAGAGATGCTGTGTGTCATCAAATGTGCTGTATCTGATTTGTTTGATCAAGTTTTTTTTTGGTTTATTTGGTTTATAAGTTAATATACACAGAAAGCCGCCTGAATTTACAAATCACAAATTATGTCTGACAGCTCTACAGCTGCAGTTAGATGGACCTTGAGGTGAGACAGTTTTGTCAACCATAAAAAAACGCTGTTCTGATGAAGGGTTACCCTACACGCTCCACTTTTCTCCGAATTCTGCAGCACTGTGTAAACTGGAAGCCATGAACTAAAACGGAGAATGAAAAATCACAGCTGCTTTAGCTAAAAAGCTTGTCGTAAAGACTGAAAACCACAGGATCATCCATCTAGGTGACCACCCTCCCTTCACCCCCCCCCCCCACCCCCCCCCCGTTACATAATTGTGTTTATTGGCCAATAAAGGCAGCTCTGGTTTCATTAATTCATGGAAGAAATTTCCTAACTTTGTGTAAAACTGAACTAAACACCGCAATCAAATCAGATGAATAAAGACATTTCTGTGCTTCCTCTTGGATGAATGAGTGGATTTAGCTTCTGGTGGAGTAACTCTGCCTGTGGTGGGTGGTTAGTGGAAAACTCCTGGGAGACTCCAGGACCATGAATCCTGCATTCAGGCAGATTTCTTGGAAAAAAAAAAAAAAAAGCTCAACATATGTTTATGCTTACAATCAGCTTGACCGCTACTCTTTCCTTTTACTTAGTGAGTGGTAAAATTCTTCTGCAGCTAATTAGGAGCCATCACGATTAGCACGAGAGGCAGGCTGTTTAAAATACAGAGACAAATTAGGTCACCTGATGAAAAACTCCCTTTTACCTGCGTCAGTCACCTGTCAAAAAGTCATATACCACCAGCCCCTCCAGCATGAGGCACTCTGTGTAAAGAGGTGACCTCTGACCACATGGATTATATTCGGGTCAATCGCTATCAGTTTATGACGTGGCCACAGACAAGACCTTATCCCTCAAACCTTTCACAGAAAGGCTGAATGATTAGCAAAAGAGTCAAATAACTTGGGTCAAGGGTGATAAGTAATGATTTTATCATGTTTAAAACGAAACCACAGCTGAAAAAGCAGTCAAATGACACAGATTTAGATGCATCTTCTGAGTAACATGGTTTCAATCTCATTTATGCCGGAGACACTAAATTTAGCTTTATGAACACTGAGGTTTACCACAGCCATAGATCAATGTGCTCTTAAAAAAAGGAAATGCATGAAATGTGTGTGTGTGCACAGTTTACGAATCAGCAATTCCTTGGTTTTTGTGGGAATGATGTGCATCTGGATATTTGTGTATCTAAGTGTATTAACATCACACCTCTGTATAGTGAGCTTTGCCTCATGTGGACAGGCGCATCTGCAGAGGAATTAAACCCTTTTGCAGCCCAGAGCCTGCGTAACATGCATTAGCGGTGGCATGAGGTCCTGCCAAAAGGAGACCCTGGCACTTCCAAAACCACAAAATCTACTACAGCTTGGCAAGCAGCTTGCCATCATCACTGCATCAATTACCAAACCATTATAAACAGGACTTCCTGGTAAAAACAAAATTCTGCTGTGGCAACTCAGAATAACGACGGAGCTCATGTGGGCGATTAATCCAAACCTGCAATCCAATAAAAACACATTTATTTAAAAATGGTAAAGAACCAGAAAATGTAGAGGAATAAAATAGGTACAGATGGAAGTAACAAAAAGGCTGTGATGCAGTAATTTAATGGCATTATTGCTAGCCTGTTTCAGTAAATACAAACTATTTAGCTACAACTAAGAGAAAAAATAGGGACATTTTCATCATGAAAGTCAACGATTAAGAAAGAAAAAAAAAATAACATTTATGAACAAAATTGTGAAGCTGCAGCTATTGCCCAAAATCTCTACGTCCTTCGCTGATCTTGTGTAAATCTCATACTAATACACCTATAGACACAACATGAACAAAGATGTTGAAGCTGCTGTCAGTGGTGCATTAGGGTTACCATGGTAACATCACATACTTCTCTCCCACTTCTTAACAGCCCTTCTGATCAGACAGGCAGACAGAAACATGAGGTAGAAATTCATCCTCAATAAATAAATAAATAAATAAATAAATAAATAAACAAGTTGCAGAAAGATCTGTTGTTCACGTGACAAATTTTATAAATCTAGTGTTTCATATAAAAGATGTGACACATTAAAAAGACCAGTTACTTACAGTTTTGAAGAGACAATTCTGAGCTCTGATCACACTCTTAGTTAAACTTTTAATGTTAACGTTTTGATCATTATAAAACTTCAACTATAATCAAAACATCAACATTTCAAACTGTGACTGAGAATCAAGAATCAATATAAAGATTCAAATAGAGCTAGAACCTATCAAAGCACAAAAGAGGACTCAAATGCAGAGCTCACACTATTTAATAAACTGAAGGGATTCCTGGCCGTACAGCACAACTGAACAAGTCCAAAACTAACTCAATGCCCTCTCACAAAGTGTTACTGAGAGCAGGTTCACTTTAGTCAACTGAAGAAGACAAACTGGCAAAAGAATCTGTTTGCAAAGAAGTATAAATGGACAAGCCAGGACACAGGAGCAAGACATAAGGCTGATTAGTGAGGAGCCTCAGGTTGTGAAGCTGCCTGTAATGAGACAGGAAGTGAATACACAAAATAAAACAGGAAGTACCAGAAATACAATAAAACCAGAAACATGACTGCAAAGCACTCAACCTACAGAACCACCCATGACAGAACCAGGCTTTAACCCCACTGAGAATCTTTGGCTGTGCTGGAGAAAGCTTTGTGCAGCGGTCAGACTCTACTATTATCAGTGCAAGATCTTGGTGAGATATTAAATCATCAGTGGATGGAAATAAATCTTGTGACATTGCAGAAGCTTATAGAAACTACGCCACAGTGAATGTGTGCTGTAATCAAAGCTAAAGCTGGTCCAACAAAATATTAGTGTGTGACCACTTTTTGGGTGGCAGCTTTTTTTTTGCCTGGCAGCGCTACATATACATATATATATATATATATGTATATATATATATATATATATATATATATATATATATATATACATATATATATATATATACATATATATATATATATATATATACATATATACATATATATATATATATACATATATACATATATATATATATATATATATATATATATATACACATATATATATATATACATATATACATATATATATATATATATATATATATATATATATACATATATACATATATATATATATATATATATACATATATACATATATATATATATATATATATATATATATATATATATATATATATATATATATATGTATAGCAAGTTGTACCCAATAAAAAAGTGTGTATGTACATATGTTTGTATACACACCCACACACACACACACACACACACACACACACACTCCCACACACACACACACACACACACACACACACACACACACACACACACACACACACACACACACACACACACAAGCCACTTTATCAGGTACGCCTTGCTAGTACTGGGCTGGACCCCCTTTTGTCTTCAGAACTGCCTCAATCCTTCGTGGCATAGATTAAACAAGGTACTGGAAGCATTCCTCAGAGAGTTAGGTCCATATTGAAATGATAGCATCAAACAGTTTTTGCAGATTTGTCGGCTGCACATCCATCCATCCATCCATTGTCTGAACCCACTTGTCCACGTAGGGTCGGGGGGGGGGGGGGGGGGGGGGCTGGTGCCTATCTCCAGCGGTGGCTGCACATCCATGATGCAAATCTCCCATTACACCATATTCCAGAGGTGCTCTATTGGATTGAGATCTGGGGTCTCATTTATCAAACATTCCGTAGAATCCTTACTAAAACCGTACTTAAGCTCAGCAAAAAAATTTACTTACGCCAAGTAGGTTTGTGATCTATCAAACATGGGGTACGCACAGCTGCACACAATCTCCGCTTCATAAATCGGAAACTATCTAGAAAGGTTTTCAGCTGCTTTTTAGTCACATCCCGCCCTCACCCCGCCCACTTACTGCCACAGTCAATGCAAAGTGCCTCGTGGATCTCATGCATATACATAAGCCGGCTGTTGCAGCGCTCCGCCAATGACGATGGCGACTGTAGATCAAGGCAGATCAAGGAAGCACAATTTCACATAAGCAGAAATTGAGGTTTATGTTTATGTATTTAGCAGACGCTTTTGTCCAAAGCGACTTACAAGTGATAATCGGCATGTTGCCCTTGAGGCTAACAACAACAATAACAACAACAACAACAACAAACAATTTCCAGTCAGTCGTAGGTGGCAGTGAGGCAGCATGATGAATCATGGAGAGGAGAGAACAAGGAGTGGACAGTAGAGAGGGGGACGGGTGCAGGGAGGGTGCTAGTTTAGAAGATGCTCTCTGAAGAGCAGGGTCTTCAGGAGTTTCTTGAAAATCGAAAAGGAAGCCCCTGTTCTGGTAGTGCTTGGTAGGTCATTCTACATTTGTGGAACGATGCATGAGAAGAGTCTGGATTGTCCTGAGCGTGGTGTAGGCACTGCTAGCACTGAGGCACTGAGGCGCCGGACAGTTTGCCAGAACCTCTTTGGAGCCAATCAATAGTCTTTCTCCATGGCCTCACCAAACTCCTCCCACGCCCGAGATTTTGCCTCGGCAACTGCCACTGCCGCACCCCACTTGGCTTGGTACCTGTCTGCTGCCTTTGGAGACCCACAGACCAGCCACGCCCTGTAGGCCTCCTTCTTCAGCCCAATGGCTCCCCAAACCTCTGGTGTCCACTAGCGGGTACGGGGGTTGCCACCACGACTGGCACCGGCCACCTTGCGACCACAGCTAGCAACAGCCGCCTCAACAAACGCAGAGTGGAACAA